TACGCCTATGCTAGTGTAACTTCCTGATTGTACGGAAAATCGTGATTTTAAAAACCATTCAAATATATCACCGTTACACGATAATGACTGTTGAATTAGAATTTCGTGAAAATCAGACGACCTTAACTGCCCGACGAAATTTAATGGCCGCTCCTCGTACGCTAACAGTGTAAAAGTATGTGATACCACAATCTGATTAAAATACAGATCTATATTTCGTTTTGGTCTTTTTATACGTTTGATGGCCTACACTACATGAAGATCTGACAAGTTGTACTGGAAGGTCGTGTCAGGGGTCGTACGAGTGGGTTTGACCTTATCCGATTTTGACGGATCTAGGAATTTATTTTGAAAAGGGGGGCACGCCGCTGAGGTTTTTTTTTATCCGTTATTTCCTTGCATCTGTAGCCATTCCAAGAACTATTTGGCTGATATTTCCGTCTAAGTAAAAGTTCGGAAATCGTTGAAAGAGAGCAATAACATCGAGAAAAAAAGCCAGTTGAACATGCGACTCGAAAATTGTCAAGGCGAGCGAGGCATTATGATGGGAAAAAAGACGAATCTATTCCCTAGCCACTTCACTATTTAAGCCTTGTTACGTGTACTGTGTACACATGAAACAATGCTACATTTTGGGCACCAAATGCTGGGAAAATTTGGGCACACAATTGTACTTTGTAAAAGTAGTATAAAAAAATATTGTGTTCTTGAATGCGTCCAATTTAACAGCGAATTTAAATTCAGAGTGTCTATAGTTAGGCAATTAAATAGAAATCTTAAGACTCGAACCCTCTATTGTTTGGAGTACAGTAAGCCACAAATTACAGTTACATAAACAACTGTTTTTAGTTGTGTATATTACAAGTAAATAAAATTTAGTTCTCTTTTATTGATGATTTAGAAATTAAGAACTTATTCATCCCAAAAGAGATATTATGATTATTATGTAACATACTAAGAACCTAACTACATTTTTGGGGCACCAACCACCCCCCCCCCCCCAGTAAAAAATTTCCCCGTACGCCTATGGTCACTCTATAGGATTAGGGCACCGTCAGCTAAACAACAAGAATTCGTTTGAAAGTGGAAGCATTAATTAGACCAGACTGGTGTGTTTGTGTCGATGGTTTGAGTCATTTGGGATCCCTGCAACGGGTTGGGAACGGACATAATAATATTCGGGTCTGAGAAAAGGCAGTTTCAGCAGGAAAAAAGGGCACTGTCGAAAATTAGGGCCTTGGATCCGTCTCTGCCACAGATCTCGGTCCCTTTCGATATTCGCGGCATACGCGTGCGAACCAGGGGGTAATCTTACTTTTCGAGAAGACGGTTATAAAGTGAGAAAAATTATAATATAATCAAGTTGGCAAAATAAGATGCCCGAAGTCTAATAAAACACTATATTACTTTTCGTTTCATTGAATACCACGAATTTGTACTGAGTTGGCGATATTGAACCACGTAAAGGTGGTGTGTTCACGGGCTGGAAAAGCAGGAAAACTCGTTTGGGGCCATCAAGTTTTCCAAACTTTCTTGGGAAGGTCACTACACGGTAAGCTCTGAGATTTTGGCGCTGGTGACGTATCTTTAAATGGGAATATTTTCGGGCATTTCAAGTCTGCTTCCTTAACATCCATCGGGTCCATATAGTTGAAAGTCGCCAAGTATACAAATAATATTAAAGATACATTATGGGAGATTTTTATAGAGAGTTGGCCATTCTTGCCATAACAGTTCAAAAGTAGACGGTGAAAGAAGAATATATTGAAAATTTCAGTCAAATTACTTTATTCTGAACAAAGTTATCATCGTTGTAATATTTGACTAGCAATGGTAGTCAAATATATCTTCACCTTGGCCGATCGTTTGATTGACAGGCGTTGACTCCACCTACATAATCTCGATTATCAAGTAACGTTTTCAATGGCTTGAGACGGGGTTGCAGTTCAATTCGTATCACATTTATTTTTACTACAAATTAAAAATAAGACTTTTATTATATAGATAAGAAGCGAAAGTTTGAAAGGAATGGACCAAATCAATGAGGCATAATTATAGCCGACTTCTTGTTAGCATGCGTGTACTCTTGTACTGTAAGGTAACTACGTGACTCCCGAAGCAGACAAATGAAATAGGAAACACTACAGTGATCCAATGGGGCTGCAATTCAACTGGGTGATGTTAGCTGCGATGTTTATCAATTTTTCTGTAAACGCAAGTGACAAAAGAGCGTATAATACCAACATCCAAACTCTCATTTTAACCACAACTGAACATAATATCAAGGCCGTATATATCGAACTTTCAATCAAATTGACTGACATGCGGCATCGCTCAACAGCGGCCGCGCTTCGTACACTCTATCATTTAGCCTCGATCTAACTGATGACGTCAACGTAACGGTTAATAATCTCCGCATGGGGCGCCAGATTTGATTTAATCAATCAGTGAAATCCTATTTAAAGGAGCTAAATCGCTAATATTTGGGACCTAGAAATTGACCAAAATGGGTCGAAACGCATATACAAAATGTAATAATGTAATCTGATTGTATATAAACTGATTTATTTTCAATTGTTTCCTTTTTGACTCTAATTTCAAATCAGTTATGTCCAGCGAAATACAGCATGTGTTTCAACCCTATAGCAATTTCTAGCGTCTGGTTATTCCAGTCTATTAAGCAGGCATTCCAGTTGAATATGTCTGGCCTAGTTCTTTCTGGTCACTTGTTGCAAATGACGCTAAAACGCACTATGGTACACGATTCGTGTACCAATGGTAAAATGTTTATTTTGTCTTAAATATTGGATATCAGAAGCCTGCCTTTTCTTGCTAAGATCACAACATCAATGTTGATTTGAATTGACAAATAATTCGTATTTTCAACGTGTAAGACTTTGGATGATATTGAGTTAGAGACTTAGCTACTTTAAATCCAAGCTGTAGCCGAGCCATCCGTGGGAGGGGATCACGTGGCTAAGTGGGTAAGGCGCTGGCTCGCTAGCCTGGAGGTCGGGTTCGATCCCTACATTGGCCGAGAAAGTTCTTCGATCCCTACATTGGCCGAGAAAGTTCATCCAGATTTTCCGGCGTGGTTCCCCCTCGTCAGTGATGCAGGACGGAGGGCCTGACAAGGACAGCTGTCTAGTCCTTCGGATGACACGAAAAACGGAGGTCCCATGTATATATTGGAATGCACGTAAAAGATCCCTTGGCAGTTGGAATTCGATATAAGAGTAGGCGATAGTGCCGCTGCCCGGGCAAAATTACCCTCATAGCACACTGTCTGGCGTATGCCCGTCTTCATTAGCCCAGTATAGGAGCAGAACAGTAGGACGTTAAACCCCATTTCATTTCATTTCATTTCAGCCATCCGTGGGTCTACAGAGTTGATTTTGGCTTGTTGTTTAAATAAAGATCTAATTTATAATTTCTATAACATCTGAAGCCTAAATTAAGACTTGCAATAATCAGATTTAGCTCTTGCATAATGTATGTTTAATAATAATACATTTATTTAGCGCCTAATCATCCTAGATGCTCTAAGCGCTTTAGAATCACAATATCACATTGCCCGACAAAATTCAAACCATAATATTTACATTTAATTACTGGTAAGCTTGGTTGTATAAATGAGTTTTTAAATTGGTTGCATGTCATATTAATTTTGAATATGATCCGATATTTAACTGGCAACCAATGCAAGCTCCTTAGAAGTGAAGTCACATGGTCACATTTCTTCTTTCTCTTCACTAGTTTTGCTGCACAGCTTGGAGTTTGTTTAGGAGAGAATTGGGAAGACAATAAAACAGATACCCCTGATTTGCGGCCCATTGCTGTCTGGCATCTCGATGACGATGCAAAAGGATTTGACCTTGGTAAGGTCGACGGCAGCATAACCCAAGAGCAGCCAGGCTGTATTTTAATCAGATTGATTGTAGGGATAATGGGTTTTAGCACCCCTGGTTCCAACCGGCCAGATATTATTTTGTAAAATACAGATAGCCCAAAAGTAGGCCTACTGCTCCTTACAAAGTCCCACTCAAGGCTTTGAAACTTTACAGAGTTACCTCCCCTTTTCTAAAAACCGTATTAAATGAAGACATTGGTGAGAGGATGAACCCTATTGATATTGGACGATATGTGGGATATATGTACTTTTACATTAAATTCTTGTCAAATACAACTCATGGCTAATTTGGATGGTGATTGTACATAGGCCTATTCATAGGCGTACAGGGAAATTTTTGACTGGGGGGGGGGGGGGCGGTGGTGGTTGGTGCCCAAAAAATGTAGTTAGGTTCTTAGTATGTTACATAATAGTAATAAATTCGCTGTTAAATTGGACACATTCAAGAATACAATATTTTTTTTTTATACAAATTTTACAAAGTACAATTGTGTGCCCAAATTTTCCCAGCATTTGGTGCCCAAAATGGGGGGGGGGGCCCCAGCTCGTACGCCTACGGGACTATTTACTTAAATGATGTAGGATCAACCTCAAATTGGCAGATAGTTTAGAAATTCAAATAAACTACCAATTTTAATAAGAGTGTTTCTAGAGGAACCGGGGAGGGACATATTTAATTGATCACTTCTAAACCACTCATTGGATTCCAAACAAATAGGGGGCCTTACATATGTTTTGTTTGAGTGGTGATTATTCAGATTTGTTCAACTGTTTTAGTCCTGCAAGTCTGATTTAGAAGAAAATTTGGTTACTTTCATGCTTCTACATTTTATCAGAATGGCGGATTTGCAAATGTGTATATAAGATAGATAAATATTGACAATTCCTAGACATATTAATGGCTTTAATACAACTCACTGATGAGCAATTAAGTCCACTTCGGCTCTTTTTTCTAAATTGTTTTAGGATGCCACATAATTATGGCAAACAGGTTGAACAAGACTTTAAGCAAATATATCACCATTTAGCCACCCAGCCTTATATGGTATAAACATTTTTTTATAATGAACATGACAATTCCAACAATAAATAATGGTGGGCATAAGTCCACAGGAGCTCTTATTTTATTTAAAATTAATGGTTGAATAATATTTACAAATGAATAATTTACAGATTAAATATGAATATTTACAACATAAGTAAGCTTTACCATTATATATATACTGTAATCCTAAGATGATATCAATTGAAAACTGTCACATATTTTATCACTTAAGATGACTACCCTTTTCATGACAATCTGTATTATATACTATAGTTGTCAAATGGAAAAAAACTTAACAACAAGGATAACAACCAAACTCTTAGAATATAAGTTAACAAAACCAAATTTCATGACAAGGTTAACACATATTAGAAAAATACGTCCATTGTAGCTAAGTCCATGGTAGCTAAGTCGTTGGAGCAGTCCACAAAGGTTGTCGCATATTTATTATTTTGCACGTAATGCAAGCATTTGTAAAACATTAAACACTGAACAAGAGCAATAACCCATGTAGTAATTATCAAAACTGTTACCAAAATTATTAAAAATCAACATCTCATGTACCAATAATGTGTATAAATTTCAAGTAAATCGAATAATAATTTTAGCCTTTAGAGCATCTCCAAATTGATTAAGAGACAAAAATCTGACAGTAATTATCAACCAGCTGTTGCCAGGCCAGATACACACATTTTGAAAGAGATGGATAGAGAACAAGCTAAAAAAAATTTTTTTTTGGTTCGTACAATCAGGGTCTGAAATGCCCAACTATTAAAAGGGACTGAAATCTTTGGGATATAAAGATATATTTTAAGTCTCATCAAAATCGGATAAAAATTGTGACCTCTAGAGGGTCAACAACCTTCGTGTTACACACTTTTACACAATTTGCGTACAAAGAACGACCTTTTTGTTGGGCATTTTCATTCCAATTTTCCTGAAATTCGAGTTCAACCTTCATTATGGTGGAATGGAGATAAATTTAAACGATTTTTAAAATCGGATAAAAATTGTAACCTCTAGCTAGAGAATCCACAAGCTAAAAAAATGCGGTATTTTGTACAATCAGGGGCCATAATCCAGGAAATTAGTCTGATATGCGCGAATATTGAACAGAACCAAGATCTTTGGGTTATAAACATGCATTTCAAGTTTCATCAAAATCGGCTAAAAATTGTGAGCTCTAGAGGGTCCACAACGTGTTATGCCACTGTTTACAGTATTTGCGCACAATGGGCAGCCATTTTGTCCAGACATTTAGATCGGATTCTCGCAAAATTCAAACATAATATACATTATGGTGTAACGGTGATATATTCGAACTTTTTTTTTAAATCGGATAAAAATTGTGACCTCTAGAGGGACCACAATCTAAAAACATGATTATTTTGTACAATCAAGGGTCATAATTCAGGAAGTTACAATCCGATATGTGTGAATATCGAAAGGAACCAAGATCTTTGAGTTTTAAACCTGCATTTCAAGTTTCATCAAAATTGGAAGAAACTGGTGACCTCTTGAGTGTCCACAAGCTAAAAACGTGATCCATGCAGTCTCAGATGCAGTTATGGTCCCATACACTATTCATACCAACCAGTATCACATAATATCAACCACCACACTATGGCACTGGAGGAGAATGTTAGTAGAAATTACTTTTACAATGAAATTACTACTTAAATACTTCTTCCAATTCAAAAATTATCTTTACAGATCACAATGAAATTACTACTTAAATAATTCTTCCAATTCAAAAATTATCTTTACAAATCACAATGAAATTAAATGTATTATTTACAAATGAAATTTTGATATGAAATATTGTTGAGATCGTTACATTTAAACCTCCATCATCATAAGGCGATACATGGAGAAGGATGGATTTAACCAGTGTAAGTAGTGGATATGTAACAAAAATGGTTTGGAGATTAGCCTGGAATTTGAATTCTTCATTAATAACATTCTTTAATAACCTGAAAAATAGCATAAACACAAACTAGGTTATTACAGGACTAACATATGGCACAATTTTATTTCAATAATTCTCTTTAACAGTGGGAGGAAAACAGATGACACAGCGAAATCCCACAAGGTAGCCTACAGATCGAAACCAAGCCAGACCTAAAGATCTGAAACGAACATGTTACACCACTCGACAATCACCCCCCCCCCCCCATTAAATTATGAATGGAAATACTGGTAACTTACCATTGTGTCTAACTAGATTAGGACTAACTAAGGCTTTCTGTTTCAGAATTGTCCAGTCAAACACATAGTCATACTGATGATTCAATGTTCGAAATAAAATACGAAATAGTTGACGTAAATACATGTAATCTGGAGCTTCATCAAACCGTAAACCACGGCAATAATTTAAATACATTGCAAATTCAGCTGGGAATCCCTATAAAAAAAACAAACAAAAAAACCATTATCTGTCATAAATCCAAGTCAATTTAATGTGTAAGAAAACTTGCTAGGTTATTGCACTCAAGACATCTTAGTTCTTGATTTATAACATGCTTACCAGAAGCAATGTTGTTCATGCTTGTTCTAAAACAGCTAACATTATCAAGAAATCATGTATAGCAATTTGTAAATAAGATCCAACTGAGTTATACAAAATTCTATCCACTGCTCTTCTTTTGCCATACTGAACAATCCACCTAAGTAATAAATGAAAGTAACTATTGAAAATTAATAGGATATTGTGTTTCATGAAGATAGGCTACACACTGTGTACAAATAACAATTCTTTTGTTGAAGTTCATTCTTACCTTACAAAGTGTTTCAACAGGAGTGGCCATTTTCTTTTCACTAATTTTATCATATTTTTGTTTTTTTGTTGCAGCCTGAAAAAAAATGAAATGTAATTAGTGAAAATTGTATCAAATATATAATCTAACATTTCACACAATACAAAAGTCAACAAATTACAAGTCCTCAAAATGCTTCTATGCATCCCGTCTCTTAAATCTGTTAAAAAATATGTTGTGAAATACTGTTAGCAAAGATGAAAGACAAGCATCCAAGATGTTTTGACCATGACATTGTTAAGTAGGTATAATTGCTGAACAAACATGTTACTGTACAATACATCCGCCATTAAATCAGTTATCTGGAAAGAATAATTTTAAAGAGGATTATGATATCTTACATAATGTCAAATAATTGTGGTCTGTGCCAACCCTATCCCTATTGGTAGAGTTATCTTTCTATTTATTAAGAGTTATCTATCTTTTACAATATGTCAGCCTCCACTGTAATGAAAGCCTGTTTATAATGACTCATCCTCGATATCCCTAGTGGTCATATTCCGTTCTACTCCACTAACCCTGGGTTAAACTATGGGGGGACACGTTTTCAAGTTATCCACCCTTGATGATTGTGTTATCTTTATCAACCAATCCCATAAATCGTTGGCAAAGGGAAGTAACTCTCATCAGGTAAAGCAAGCAAAACGCAAAGGCTCCCCTTCAAGAGACAAGGTTAGGAATTATCCAGAAGGTAGCCTAAATGCATATTTATTAACAACAAATTACAACTATTTTATAATATATTAATGAAGACCAGACAGGTGTTTATATGTATGTAGGTTCAGGAGTTTTATTCACTCGGCAAACCTCAGCAGATTCCAGTACCCTACATCTAGCCTCGGCTGAATGACAAAGTCCGCCACTGGAACTACTTTCAAGTTCTCAAATTACAACGACGTTGCCCATGACGACACCTTTGAAGAATGTTTTTATCATACAAATATTTCAAAGTCTGAAGCTGTTTTTCTTTCAAGTTTATCCGATTTTCTTCAAACAAGGACAATTTTGCACTGAAAATTCTACACACACTTCAAACGCTGCAATTTTGATAACTTCTTTTTAAAAGCAGCAAGTTTTCCTAATAAGTAAACTGGTGCCGCATCACAATTGTATAGGTGTAGGTACATATCACTTACAGTCATACAGCCGAGGCTAGATGTAGAGTAACGGAATCTGACGAGGTTTGCCGAGTGGAGTTTTATTGAGAATTAAATGGCCAAGTATAAGTTCAATAATAATAAACATAACAGAATGAAATATTTCAGACAAAGACCGAATAGTAATAATAATAACAAAAGTCAAACATATAGATGTTATACATATTTGAAATCGGCAAAACATACTACAGATTTTGATAATACAATTAAATATAAATGAATTAGAAATATATACATTATTTACACAAATCATTCAGTAAATGGACATGAATATGGTTATCTACGAACAAGGAACGCCTAGTTTGTATTGTTTGTAAACTGTTTTTTGATTGGTTTGTAGACTTTAGCTACAATCAAGGCCAGGGCATATAACTTGAAATCGTGGAAACCCTTTGGATTAACCCAGGGTATTGTGGAGTAGAACGGAATGAGTACACTGGGGATACTGAGGATGATAATGACTTTGTTCTTATCTATGACCACAGTCATTATAAAACTTAACAGTGTATACTACAAGTGCTATTTATAGCACAGCTTTCATGAGTTGACAGGTTTAAACATGGAGACCGTAGGTCAAGATGTTAAACCTGTTAACGAATGAAGCGTGCTATAAATGACTTGTAACATTGACACCTGCTCAACATGCTTGTTGTTATTGCCCCAAAAACCCACCCCACTTCTCTATGATTTCTACTAAACCTAGTGTAAACCAGAATAGTCCACAGATGCCATTTTTCAGCTCTGAATTTTCAAAATTTTCTGGAGAAGGCAAGTGTGGATATATATGGCTAAATTACGAATGGGCTCCTACAAATACTAACTTGTGACAAACCGATATATAGAAATGGTTCCACTACCGATATCTTCCGTCTTGCTCCAGCCACAGTAGTAGATCGTTCTAAGGACTTCATTTGAGCAGGTTTTGTCATGATTTGATCACAAAAAAATTACTGGCCTGTAACTCCCATTAAAATTTTAAATTAAACCGACCCCAAACTGTACTGCATATAGCTTAACATATAATAAACCAATTCCCATTGAAATAAAGGTGAAACCTTAATGCATAATTATATGATTTCATAAAAGCCAGTGATCATTGTTCTGCATTGACTTTATTAAATGTATAAATAGATAGACATAAATATACAAAATAGAAAGTTGAAATGATCTGTCCGCATGGTTGCATTCTCCAGGGCAGTCAACCCGCCTGCCAGTAGTTGATAAATATCTAAAACAAAACCAGCGGCTGCCAGGCAGGATACGCCCACATTTTCGAGAGATGGATAGAGAACAAGCTAACAAGAAAGTGATTTTTCCTACAATCAAGGGCCATAATTCAGGAAATTACAATTCGATATGCGCATAATCGAAAGGAATTGAACGAACGGCAGCCATTTTGTCTGTCAATTTTGGGCCGATTTTCAGTCGTCCTCAGGGTGTAACGGTGATATAATAATACGTTTTTTTAAATCGGATAAAAATTATGACCTCTGTAGGATCCACAAGCTAAAAACGCAATTTTTCATACAATCAGGGGCCATAATTCAGGAAGTTAAGGTCCGATATGTGCGAATATCGAAAGGAACCAAGATCTTTGGGTTATAAACTTACATTTCAAGTTTCAACAAAATCGGATAAAAATTGTGACCCCTATAGGGTCCACAACCTTGATATACCATATTCTTGCACTATTTGGGAACGAATGGCGGCCATTTTGTCTGTCAATTTTGGGCCGATTTTCACGAAATTCAAACTCAGTCATCCTTAGGGTGTAACGGTGATATAATAGAACGGTTTTTTAAATCGGATAAAAATTATGACTTCTATAGGGTCCACAAGCTAAAAACGTGATTTTTCGTACAATCAGGGGCCATAATTCAGGAAGTTACGGTCCGATATGCACGAATATCGAAAGGAACCGAGATCTTTGGGTTGTAAACTTACATTTCAAGTTTCAATAAAATCGGATAATGAAAATGTGGGCGTATAAAAAGGATTAGACCTACTGCAATATTTAGTTGAAGTTAGTTATTGCGATGAATTAAAATAAGCATAAACTTTTACCTTTAAACCTTGCCATGGTAGAGAACCTCGATTGAAGTACATGAGAACATAACCCAAAGCTTCCATATCATCTCTTCTACTTTGCTCTATACCTAAATGTGCGTTAATGCTAGCATATCTAGCTGTACCTGTTAATGTTTTATCTTCACGGTAAACTATATGTTGTTTTGTTCTACTATCTCTATATTTTTTTGCTAAACCAAAATCTATGATAAAAACCTGAAAAAATAAATAAGTATATTAAAATTTTTGACAACAAAGCATAATATCTGAAAAACTAATGATTATGAATAAATGTGGGCGCATATAAATCCTCAACATGAGTTGTAAGTATGAAATTATACATCATTTACAAAAATATTATGGAGCAGAACCCACCTTATTACAATGTCGACCAATACCCATTAGAAAATTATCTGGTTTAACATCTCGATGAATAAAATTTTTATTTTGTACAAACTCTATTCTATTGATCATCTGAAAAACAATTAAAATGAAAATAAGCTTTGGGCGAAACCAATAAACACATGTAGTCTCATTCTTTAAATATTAATTGGAGAAAAAATGAAGTTCTACATAAAAAAAAATCAATAGATGTTGTCTAGGAGTAAACAAACATATTTGTATGCCCACAACTCATTTACTGATCTATAGAAAATCTATAACTATACAACCACACAACAAATATAAACAAGATAGGTTGCCAGGAAATGAATCATACGCCCCCAACGGCTAAATCGTTCAAGCGGTCGACAAGGGTTGCCACATATTTATACTCTGCAGGTAATGGGGGGCATTTACAAGACAATTTCATACAGATCAGATGATAACTTTTGCCATTTGATCGTTCACAATATTCAATAAAACAAGGTCCATAACTCTGGAAGTAATTTACAGAAATTGTTCATATTTGACAGGCTTTTTCGTTTTACTAATTTAAATAATGCATATAAATTCATATAGATCGGATGATAACTTTTGTTGTTCGAGCATTCACAAGGTCCAACAAAGAAAAACAAGGGCCATAACTCTAGATGTAATGAACAGAAATTGCTGAAATTTAATAGGCTTCTTCGTTTCACTAATATAAATGATGTATATACATCCCATACAGATCACAAGATAACTTTTGTCGTTAGAGCGTTCACAAGGTGTAACAAAGTGAAAAAAGGGCCATACATGTAACTCAAGAAAAAATTAACAGAATTTATTAAAATCAAATAGGCTTTATCATCTCACTAATGTAAACAACATATATCAATTTCAAAACAATTTGATGATAAATGTACTCTGTAGAGTGTTATCAAGAAATTGAGGACGACGGACAGGGGCAACGGCAATATCAGTCCTTCACGTTTAACGGGAGCTTTTGCTCCTGCTCCAATCGACACGTCGGTTTTCCTTCGAAGGAGTCATTAAAGACTCCTGCAAATTAGCTAAATCGCTCTCCTAAATATTGAGATTAATAAACTACTTTCAGTTTTTATTTACTTTTAAACTGCATATATTCAAGGTATCAGGAGGTTTTTATGGCTCCCGCACAATTTTATAAACATGAAGGACTGAAATATACAACCACATTTTCATGTGGGCATATAAAAATGACTTCACCTGATCAGCTAACATTAAAACAGTCTTCATGGTAAACCGCCGTGAACAAAAATTAAACAAATCTTCTAAACTAGGTCCAAGTAGATCTAACACCAGTACATTATATTCTCTTTCTGAACCAAACCATCTACAATATATAATACACCATATAAAAGAGAATGAATGAAACATGGTTATATAGAAGATCTTACTGTATAAAATGACTAATTGATAGCTGAACAGCATTTCATTACAGTTATCTAGATTTGAAAAGTACCCACTTGCATCCCATCAGCTGAATTCTTATGATTATTACAAGTGTCAAGCACATCAGAAATGAAATGGATTATTTTTCCTGCATCAAAAAGAAGATGAAAGTGCATAAGAGAAATTTGGATGTTTTCATTTTTGGCCTTTAGAAGTGATTGTTAAAGATGCATTATGTAAGATTTAGATAAAGAAATGGCTGACAACAGTAACGCAATTTGATTATCAAAGTCGAGTACAAAATTATGCCTTGCTTTTGAAGATGTGTGTCAACAAATATCTTCAAGCATTCTTAAAAGTCTATTCTTGGTGGAGTGTAATAGCCTGTAATAAAATATTAATACAGTGGAGAAAACATTAACATGGCTGCTACAATAAACCATTATTCAAAGGAGAATAAATAACAATTATATGCACTCAGTAGGTATATTATCAGTAGGTAACATTAATTATTTATCATTGAAGATATTGATTATGTTCTGTTACACAAATATATATAAAGAGAGTGAAGGCATAACATCTGTTATATATCTATATTTCAATAATTTGGGAGGAATTCAGAGAGCTTAGAGGGAAAATACATAAGGTCAGGCAGACGAGTCCTACTCTGTGTCACATACAAGTATGGTATTGAATCCACCACACTTGAATTGATTGATGACAGACCTTACGATCCACAGTGCTCTTATTGCATGTACATCACTCTGCCACCCAAACCCCTACCAACAGCCACTGTTTTAAACTATTTGTTCTTAAAGCACTCTCACTGCTGGTATCAGTCACAGAAATCAGTAGTCCTATATGACACGCCTGTCTACATTTACAATGAATTTACTGACTTTGCTGTTTGTTGTTTGTAGATACAAGCTAAGGTATGAGATTTGTAAACACTAATACAAATAAACAACATTAAACTTCTTCATACAAGCAACTCTTCATTCAGTTTCTAACAGATGAACACATTTCATTATAATGTTTATTCCTACAGCAATTGATAATTAAAATACATATACATGTACCATAGGCCGTAGACCGGAGCGAGTTATTGTTTACTCTGGTGGAATGGCTTAGTTCTGGTCATTTTTCTGCACAGACTAATTTAAAAATACATAAAATGAATAATGACAGTTCATCACACCTTGTTTTCTGTGAGTGCTTGCTTCAAAATATTTTTATAACTTTTAATTATTTTTGTTTTTGCAGACTTGGTCCTTTTCACCGTCATATTAATGCGCCAGTGAAAAGGTTGGGAGAATTTTGAACTAAAAGTTCTGGACTAGAGTATTTCAGACAATCAGATAACAGAAAAATCGTCCTTATGTAAATATCAACAAAGCAGCGTGTTCGATGATTTTTTCAATGTTTTGACATTTCTCTAAGTACGAGTGCCTTATCCATCAAGCAATCAAGGATCCTGGCAAATTAGTTCAGTTTAGTGATACTAGTTGGAATTATGTGGTCAACTATGCTCCTCAGTGGCTAAATCTCCATGGAGAGGAGCAGAAAATAGCGGTTTCTTATCATGATGTGTTTGAAGGTGAAGTAGGCCTACATATATGAATGAGTTCAAGACCACTGATAATTTTTTTTTCTCTCTCACACTGATATGGCAACAGATTTTATTCTTTATGTCTATGCCTAATTCACACAGATAAATGCTTGACACAATGCGTGTCCAATATCTACATGTAGGTTTATTTTGCTAATGCAGGAGATCTTTTTAACAGTAACACTGATTTGACTGTTAAAAATGCATTTTTTTTTCCAAAATATAAATTTTATTAGTGGACTGTAATTTTTAAGTTTTTGTAAGCTCAAAAGAAAAGGCATTAAAGATCTGTCAAATGTTATTTTCGCCTCTGTGATCTATCATCATACAACTGTATAATTCTTTTTTTGGTGTTTAATGCCCGATTCTGCAAGTTGGATATCACAGACAAGTTGCCTTATTTTTATTATCTTAGTGCACACGCAGGGGTCTTTCCTATGGGAGTAAATCGGAGTACCCGTAGTAAACCCACAAGGTTGAGAAGGCCTCCCCTCATCTCCAAGCCTTATCCTGCTGGAAGTTTAAGACAGTGCAATGTGCAATAGTCTTACTCTATAAGAATCTTTCTTTAACTCTTCGCAAAAATACTTAGAATGATATATGTGAAAACAATATAATTTTAAAGATACATTATTTAAGATTTAGATAAAGAGCTAGCCATTCTTGTTATAATAATTTCAACCATCATATTGGATGTTCGAAGCTAAGTCTCGCTCCTCCATTTTTAAATTAAATCAAAATATGGCTGAACCGTTCTAATCTATTAAATATCGGAGAAAGTCGATGCCATCGAGAGTTGATTATGGCCTGGATCAGTTAATTAATGTCTAATTAATAATTTAGAAAACATTTCAGGCCCAAAGAAAGACCTACCTGAGAGAGAGAGAGAGAGAGAGAGAGAGAGAGAGAGAGAGAAAAATGGGGTTTAACTCCACTTGACACAAACTAGGTCATTTCGGGACTAACATATGGTTTAATTTTATTTACATAATTCGCTTGCGCGTAGGGGTCTTTAGCAGTGGGAGGAAACCGGAGGACCCGGAGAAAACCCACGAGGTTGGACAGGCGACCCTACTCGCCGGGGATTCGAAACCACGCCAGTCGACTCAATGACAGACTTTATGATACAGCGCGCGCACGCTAACCATTCAGCCATCCAACCCCCCAAAGAAAGACCTGCAATAGGCAGATTTAGCTCTTGCATAATGTATGTTTAAAATTAAAAGAATTTTAGAAAATATATTTTTAGGTTGTTTTTTTTTCCTTTCAAATTAGCGGACGTTAAATAAAGCAATTTCACACACAGTATGATTCACGCACAAATTCTGGGTGTATTGTCTACAGGGACAGGCCGTAAATTTTAATAATCATCATGGAACTTTGCATACTCATTCCTTTCCTTACACCCTAATGATTATCCAAATTGTTTGTGGTGGATGGCCACCCACCAAGGACAAACCCATGCCAAATTTTTGGGTGTATCAAAATTTCACAAATTTAAATGAGGCATATAAATTTCATACATATCGGATGATAACTATTATCAATCGAGCATAAACAAGGTTTAACAAAGTGAAACAAGAGCAATAACTCTAGAAGTAATTATTGTAAATTGCTGAAATTCAATAGGCTTTTTCGTTTCACTAATTTAAATCATGCATATAAATTTCACAAAGATCGGGTGATAACTTTTTGCGTTCACAAGGATCAATAAAGTGAAACAAGGGCCATAACTCTAGACGTAATAAACGGAAATTGCTGAAATTCAATAGACTTCTCCATTTCACTAATCTTAATAATGCATATAAATTTCACAAAGATCGAATGATAACTTTTGGCGTTAGAGCGTTCACAAGAAATTGTGGACGATGGACGGACCGACAGACGGACAGACGGGGGGCGACGGCAATATACGTCAACATTTCAATGTGGGCGTATAAAAAAATATATTTTGTTTGTAAATACTATACAGGTAGCAATTATTAACAGATTTGCTTTACATTCAGCATGATCAATCATTTCAGTAACAGGATTGCTCCATGCACACCCCCACCCCCTAGGGTCAGTGTCATGCCCACTTTTATGTTAATATTGTGTGGGCGCAATTCTTAATAAATTAACTTGACACACTAGGGACAACACCCACTGGTTTTAGTTCATACACCCTCCTTCCTTGAAAGGGCGGTGCCACGTCCACTTTTTGTGACTCACATAAGGGCCACCGTTCTGAATGGATCATCTTGGAAGTGGATATGCATGTACTTATTTCTTATAGCCGAAGGCCGACAGCTATATTGATGTTTGTAATCTAACAATTTTCATTATCATATTCAATTTCTTGTTTTTATGGCAAGAAAAAATATAATATAATGGCTATATCTATCAATTAAAAAAATTGGAAAGGCCGCACCAGGCAATTTAGTGAGGGTAAAGATCTAAGTCATATGATTTTGCCCAGTAACCGGTATAGCATGTATGGTTACTAGGTTTATGAAATCTGAGAATTCTGTTTGTCAGATGGTGAGGGAGAATCATTAAAGGAGACCTAGGGTGTGTTAGGGCCAGCAAGGGCCCTGACTGAAGATATGACAAGTCACATGTCTACTGATAATCTGATTATTTTATATTGTGTACTGTGTCTATCTCATTATGTATACCAGACCATGGTTTTTTGTCTCATCCAAATGCTGAGAGACATTGTTCCTGGCTAGGCCCTCTATAATATAATGCACCACTTACGAGGGGAAAACACTGGAAAATAGAGGAATTTTCTCGGCAGTTACAAGGATCGAACCAGATCTCCAGTTTAGTGAGCCAGCACCGTACTGAGCCACCAGCTCCCCCTTTAAGTTTATGGAAGATCGATATAATCCACCACTGATTCTACATTGTCAGAAGGGGACCATGTAAGCTGATACCATACAAATACATTATCAACCAGTTCTTTCAGAATCAGTTTAGCTAGGAATAACATAGGGACAGCTTCAAGGGCTTATAACTGATAATACCTGGTAATCCTATCTTCAACAGGTACCTTTAATTACTTGATGTTTGCAGATCCTACATGTACTTTTAGTACATATATTACCCATCCTTACAGGGTAGAAAGAAGCTATTGTTCTCCCTCCTCCCAAAACATACACCAATTAACAACTAAGGAGTGGAAATACAGGCTTAGGTATATAATATATGATGACTTCATAACCAATCAATATACATGTATATAAACAGATTATATCCCCCCAGTTCATTATTAATGATAATACAGAAATAGGACAGTTTGACACAAAAATTCATCAATCTAGGGTTCATCAAGTGCACTTCAGTTCACCATGATTGATTAATGACCTGATTGTAAATATCATAAACCATAAGAAAGTAATAAGTAGGTCAATGTAGGCATTTAAATCTATTTGATAAAACTGCAATCTGTTTAAAATACAGATCTATATTCGTTTTGTTTTTTTATACTTTCGATGGCCTACACTACATGAAGATCGGATCGGTTGTAGCGTAAGGTGTCATAAGAGCAGCTTTTGACCTTATGATGTCAGTTGATGTTTCTAGTGGTTTATCGTAACAGACCGTTTCATTGGCCAATCCCTCACTTCATCCTAGTGTAGTAAAGACAACAAAGCTGGTGAAACCATAATAACTACAGTCTACAAGTATATCAAAAGCAGTTGGATTCCCATAGCTTATCAGCTTGTGGTCTTTCAATTAGGCATATCCATAAACTGATGTAAAGAATGCACAACCAAGATGGCAATGGGTAAATTACATAGTATGACTACACTAAAACCATTCATATGTTTGGCTCTCACTGATATCTATACTGGTTTTAAACTTCCCTCGAAAGTTTATACAATGTATACATTAGTTACTGTATTTCCAATAACAGTATGGTAAATTTGGTATATATGGAAAGTAGACACTACAAATCTTACAATGACATTACTGCTGGATTCCCTGAAAAACACCCACGGGGTCTGCCAGTACAAAAATATAAGGGTGACACTAAATGGCAACCTGTTGGCTTGTGTCTGCTTGAGTGATGTAGGGAGCACTTGATACAAGTATGTGTGATTATATGGCTAGCGATTGTAAGAACAGTGAGAGATTTAAATGTACAGAAAACTCAGAAACTGAACGGTGGGAAAAGAAGTTGGCAGAAGATAATCAAAAAATTTACTTAGGCTTTGATATTTATGGTAAATGTACAGTGAGTGACGCTAAATACAAATGTACAAGCTAAAACATCGACCCTCCCTCATTCAAGTCATGTGACAAGCATGCTTTAAATAGATTTTTACGGCTTAGGCCTACCATAGTTTCTTTTCATTAAAATGTTTTGGGAGGCATTTGAAGCAATCTTTTGACAGATAAATTAGTTTGAATATGTCTTTAGTCCAAATACATGTATCAAATGACACAGTTTGTAAGTGGGAAGGCATCTATAATCAGAACCGAAATTAAAGATGCTGATGTACAGATGTTCAATACACTCAAGGTGTATAGATAAACATTATTGTGTTCTATATATATATATAAAATACCTCATATGTGGTATTCCAACTCCTCCTTGTAATAATTTATAAAGTTTGCTTTCATACAATAACTGTGGGTGTCTAGCTTTATGTGATTCTAACTTCACTGCTAATTCCTGCAAATATATCAAAGCAAATATGATATTCAAATGAAGATTACATGTAAAAATTTAGATATTTCCTCTCCTCACCCTTCTTTCCAGTGCATGTATTTGCTATACTGGTACATGCTTAGTGGTGTTGGTTGCATTGCACTGTTTTGTATATAATATCATGTATTATGAATGAAGCAGTTGAGTACATGAAATCGATTACTCATTCTGATTTGATTCACTTCAATTACTCAGCCTATGATTTCTACATTAAATGTGGAACTACATGTAATAAATTGTATAATTTTTAGTTTAATACATGTATGTAAAATTTATTTGTTGGTACATGTACATGGTTCATAATATCTCCACCCCCTTAATTGTGTCTGCCCAGTTGCTACAGACCTGCTCTCCCCATTAGAAATTGTAATATTTGTACTTATTATGGATGTATCTATATGTAGTGTGTAGTACTAAATTACAAATAATGGAAGACATGATGTGTAGTATTGAATAATAGTTATAGGTAGTCTATTTTCTCAGTAATTTGGTAAACACAAATGACTACTACACCTTTCACAAACATATGTACCAGTCTATTGAAAAATAAAGAGTAAAATAATTGGATAATAATTAGGCTGCTATTATTGAGGGTATTTGGAATGATCTCCTAGTCATATGATGTTAGTCATATAGTAGCTGTTTTCTTATACTGATGACTAAACACACATGCATCTAAATGGCATTCTGACATTGATTTTCCATTATAAATGATAAATTCCATCTAGAATTTTGCTACAATTTAAGGGAGTTGTTTCCTTACTCAGGACTGATTCATGAGTAAATACACATACTAGCATAGTTCAGAAGATATTATGTTGTGTATTTAGCAGAATTACTTTACTGTCTGAACCGCCGTAAATTTTAAACGAATTCCTTCGATTATGAACAAACTACTTAACTTTGGTTTATAAACTTACCTGTGTATTTGAAATCAACTCCCGTTAAATAAAATCCATTGCACAATTAAATATCCCCAACGAAGAAAAAAGTTCTCTCTTGAAAAATTGAATTCCCACAAACTTTTTGTATCAAGCAATACCAAAATGGAAGCTGATTACGCCACACTTGGGGAGAGATCATCTTGTATAAAGGGGTGACAGCAGGTCCAAACTCAAACGATTGAAATGATTGCGCTTTGTTTTGATTTCAACCAGTAAATACGTCAAATTTTTCAAGAGAGAACTTTTTTATAATAACCAAAGTTAAGTAGTTTGTTCATAATCGAAGAAATCCATTCAAAATTTACGACAGTTCAGACAGCAACATTATTTATTTATTCATTTCTACTAAATAAGAGTTGGACCAAAACCGGCAGTACACATGGTACACCTTATCAATAAGATAATATCAGCCCTTTGTTCAGATTAAGATTTTGTAATAAATCTGACACTAAAAAGAAAGAGTTCACCGTGTAAAATAATCCATGCTTCATTTTAAACTGGAGTCAATATAATCATGAACAGTGTATAGCCTACTCAGTCTACTGTACATCACATGGTTAAGGGGGGTAATAATACTGGCCCAGTCGTTATTCAACATATTGCATGGATTCTCTTAACAGCTAGAAGTCAATACCTACAAACACCTTCTGAATGGGATTAGGATTAACGATTTGACTAATCACTTGGCCACAGACCACTAACCTCGCCATTTGACACATTCCTCGATAAATAAATATCACCAAAGGAACCGCTGCCTATTTTTCTCACCAGCCGATATTTTCCATTCACAACAAACTGACTTTTGTCCATCGTCGCACTCGCCATTTTCGCAAACTTCTAGCCAAAAAGTTATGGTTTTACTTCTTGGCTTCTAAACTACAAGAGTTTCTACAAGTATATAGTTTTCATCAAACGTTCATTTTGTCATTTGTTGGTATCTGTCACGAAAAGTTGACAGTTCGTCTCTCTCTCCTGTTTGTGGACACAAAGACAGAAGCATTATGGGTAGATTGTAAGACCGGTTATCAATTCTGAATTTAGTCTTTGTTTGTCCAGTCTTAACCTACGACTGCCCTTTTATAAACAACTTGGTCACCCAGACAATGACAGGTACACATGCGTATCACTTTCGAAGTCAGCCGCGGGCAATGAACTAGGTATTATTTATATGTATTAACGATAACGTGGCGACAGTGACGTAAGCGTGTCATTGAAATGGAAAAGAGCCGTAACACCACGTTCAACTAATAGTGAAATTCGGTAGATAATTCAGGAAATAATACAACGCGATTTTGTGGTATAGCCTTAAATACTTTACCAAATTAAATCATTTGAAATATAACAATACGGGAGGAGGGGGGGGGGCAACGAACTAGGTATTATTTATATGTAGGCCTATTAACGATAACGTGGCGACAGTGACGTAAGCGTGTCATTGAAATGGAAAAGAGCCGTAACCACGTTCAAAAATAGTGAAATTCGGTAGATAAATCAGGAAATAATACAACATGATTTTGTGGTATAGCCTTAAATACTTTACCAAATTAGATCATTTGAAATATAACAATTTCCACATTGAAGTGTTGTAATGACTATTTGCGAGCTGTGAAGGAACGAAATTCACATGACTGATATAGGCTGCAGTGGTCTCCCCGAAAGATTTGAAAATGGAAAGCTGTAGATGCCATTTCCGACTATTTTGGGACCCGGACCCCTAAATTGAGTCGAGTAAATAATGTCTGAATACTAGAACTAAAAGCCCTAAATTTAACCCGAAGTCTGTGTATATTAAAGTTAAAGATACATATATATGGGGGATTAGATAAAGAGCTGACAGTTCTCACTATAATAGTTAAAAACTAGATAATGTAATGGCAATTTGCTGAAAATGTCAGTCAAATTGATGCACTTGATGAACCGAGAATTAAGCGATTGAAATTTCGGCCTGGCCTCGATCATCATTAAAGTCGGTACGATAAAAATCATAGTCTCGATTATCCATTCCATGATTAAATCATGAATGAAAGTTGAGCAGCAAATCGGATCATAATCCCAAAAATATCGCAGGCTAGCGTTGACATCGAGAGTTGATTAATTAATATCTAATTAATAATTTAGATAACATTTCAGGCAGAAAGAATTAGGACCTGCTATAGGCAGATTTAGCTGTTGCATAATATAATGTTTAAGATAAGATTCTATTGTATCAAAACGCCTACAAGATGCAGCATAAAAATGTACATAAAGTGATCCGGATTTATTGGCATCTTCAATAGAAGGCTTGATCTCGCCTTAACTCCGTATATTATCTTATCATCTGTTGTAATTAAAACGTTGCAGTCGTTGCTTCAGGGACATGGCTTTATGGTTGCGTTTAGGAAAGCGTGATACACCGCCGTGTGTGTGAGAGAGAGGGTGGGGGTAATGTCCACTCGACACGAACTATAGGTCATTTCTGGACGTACAAGTGGTTCAATTTATTTCAATAATTCGCTTGCGCGTAGGGGTCTTTAGCAGTGGGAGGCACAGAAAAACCAACAGACTGGAATCGATAACAACGCCAATAGACTCAATGACAGAACCAATGATCTATAAAGCACACGTACGCCTTAAAGCATTCGCCCCCCCCCCCCCAATACTTTTTTCAGTGGGTAAATAATCAGAGAGAACTGTTATAATTGTTGAGATATTTTACACCTATCTCATTCTTACTTCATGTTCAATTTTTCTTAAAATCTTTAACTCACTGTAACTGTTGAGATATTTTACACATATCTCATTACTTTGAGTTCAATTTTGTAAGTATTAGTATTTCCATTTGTTCCTAAAAGAATCCCAATGGTCTGTTATTCCAAATTTTGACAGTTTCGATACAGCGTCTAGTCGTTCGGATCTAGGGTCCTTTGTACACACTGCAGTAGGACCCCATACCAGCTGGAATTCGATGAAAAATGTTGGATGAAACACCGATATCCGGACAAAATTATACTTTAATAAAACCCTATTTTATCCTTTCACCCAATGTTTCATATTTCGTATTCTTCTGAAATAGATTATGTAATCCACGGGTTTGTGACCAACCATTTTCTCTTTATGTGTCGCCTACAGACCGCAATTCTTAATGGATCGTCTTGAAAACTTTTCATATTTATTATTTATACCCTTAGGATGACCTCTATTATTTTAGGTACATGCCCTACCCCCTGGGACAGAGCCACACCTAAATTCTGTGTGTGTCTGTGCGTCGCCTATACCGGCCGCAATTCTTAACAAGATTCTTTCGAAACTTGTATATACTTTGCTTGCGCGTAGGGTCTTTAGCAGTGGGAGGAAACCGGAGGAACCGGAGAAAACCCACGAGCTTTGACAGGCGACCCTACTCCTTGTCACGTACAACTGGGGAATCGAAACCCCGCCAATTGATTCAATGGCAGACCGTATGATACAGCGCGCGCGTGCTAACCATTCGGCCATCAAACCGCGTCAAAATTCAACATATCAATCATTTCAATAACAGGGTTTCACCTATTTTTATGGTTCCATATCCATCCCCCAGGGGCCGAGTTACGCCCTATTTTTGTGTTTATCGTCTACGGGCTGCAATTCTGAATGGATCACCATGGAAGTGTGCATAGTTTTTCCTTATACCGCAAAAACAGCAACTTTTTATCTTGGTGCATGCCCCTACCCCCTGGTGCGGTGTCACACCCACTTTTTTTGTTGATATTAAGTTTGAAAATTTGGCAAAACAAACCCAACGCCTAGCCTTCTTCGCCTCTTGTCATATTAGTCATTTCATTCTCTTCATTTTTAAAAAGTAAGCAGGAATGTGGACGTATATTGCAGCGGTACCAATGCTCTAGTTTATAGTAAACAACGTGTAGGGTTATTCTAAAATAATGTCGACATACGCACACAAAACAATATTGATAAAGATGAATGATTTGAGTATAATCATCCGTCCACATCTGTACAGTCACTGATATACAGTCTATTATTATTATTGGTATAATTAGAATGACACAACGGTCGTTAATTAGGTCTCGACATGGTGTTAATTACCCCTGTAGTATAGCATTAATAATATATCCCAGCCCTCGGCATATTATATTATATTATACCATTCTGTATTTCTGTTAATATTGATCTTAATGAAGCGGTGCAAATGATGATAAAAACAAGATGCCACATATTCATCACAAAACAATTTTTTATGTTGTACAATGATAAAACTCGTCAGTTCAGTCAACTGATGGCATATGATCCTCAATTTAACTTTAGACATCTTCCTCAGAACCATTTGAAATTTGAAAGGACGTACCCTGCTTTAGAATCAATTATGAAGATCTTTTGTTTAAAAATAAGATAATTTTTCCCCAATTGATCCCAAACCGCTTGAATGCAATACAGTTTACCGGTACTTGAGCCATGGACCTTATATATAAATTTAAGACACATGCTTGAGTGTTTTCCAGGATTTCAAATCACGTCACAGAAGCTTTGTTCAGTTTATGGCACGCTCCCTGTCTTGTGGTTTAATGACGCCAGTGAATTTCTGGGTGATTATCAAGCGTTGGTATCTCGATGTTGTTTTCTTAATTAAATGTAAAATACCCGAAAATAAATAAGAGTACAGGTTAGTCTAGATTAAGTGGTGGAAAATTTCATATTTTCCGAAAAATGCAAATGACCCACAGAGACTTTCAATTTCCTTAGAGGTCATGGCTATCAAAGAAAAAAAAAAGCTTAAAAAAAGTGTCTTTTGGGGACAAAAGTGGGGGGACTTCAGTGTCACAGCTCTTTAATAAGGGAAACACACTGTTACTGTTCTCTCAACTTTCACCAGTTACAAATAACAACACTTTATTTATCTGTATATACATGTATATAGTAAATAAACATCATCGAGCAATCCAGTACATGATTTGTACAAACACAATCGATGATAACAACAGATAATATACATGTACAATAACAAAATAAACATATACCATTAACCATTCATTTAGTGATTTTTGAGAAAAAGTTTTGAACATTACATTATGTTAGATTCAAATTCAGTGTTACTTGCTTAATATTAATATAATAACATCAATATAAACACTCCATACCACATGAATTGCCTGTTTCACATAGCTAACAATTTCTGCCGTTTTTGGTATCTGGTGAACAGAATAACAACTTCCATTAAAATTATTTTTCTGGGCTTCCATGTATGCTTCAGTCTGTGTAGTTTACCATACACATATATTGAATCTTTAATTTAATTACTTAACATTATACTGCAGGTAACTTATTGATAACATGAAGGTATCCTTTTTTACATTTTAGCTGGCAATATTACTTATACCTACTAACCATACTGACATATTAATCATTCCTATATATCAATTTAATCCTATATACATGTATTACATCTTTTATTTACAAATATTACTATTCATGATAAACATACATCTCTTAACAATATTTGGTTTTACTACATGAATTCTCAAAATTCACAAATTGTTTTGACTAGACACCGGGGTATAGTTTTTCTATAAAAAATGGATAAATCAACTAAAAATCTTTTCCAATTCATACAGAATAACTGAATAGGGTGTTCCAAAAAGTACTGACAAATTGTGAAATAGTTAAGTGTTGAATATCATTTTGACCGCTGGTAAATATTTCTAGGAAAATAATCCAAAATTATCCAAAAAGAAAAGTTGTCAGGCAACAAGTATATGCCCTCTAGCAGCATTATGAAGGGAGTCTTTAAGGGTTTGGGGCAATAACAATGCATAAGATGTTTGGGCAACTCTAAAGTTCAATAAATGTAGTATGCCTAGTCAAAAAACTTTGAAGCATTGCCTCGCATTCAAGCTTTCAGTAACCAAAAACAGTAGTGCTGCGAAACACTGATAAACGATCACAGCAAGTTTGAAAACAAATTTTTTTTAAGTCTTCTTGACCTGTATTGCGTGGACAGACAGACAGGGGTGATAACACTATATTCACATAACAAATAATGTGGGTATATACTGTACAATAGTTTGCAGAGTGAAATATTACTTCCTGGGCTTTCAAATTAGTATATTTACAATTTATTTACAAATCATAAGCCCGTTAATTTAGATCAGATCATATGCTGGAATAAATTTGAATATTTAAAGTAGCTAAGTCTCTAACTCAATATCATCCAAAGTCTTACAGGTTGAAAACACAAATTAAATTGTCAATTCAAATCAACATTGATGTTGTGATCTTACCGGGAAAAGTTAGGCTTCTGATATCCAATTTTTAAGACAAAATAAACATTTTACCATTGGTACACGAATCGTGTACCATAGTGCGTTTCAGCATCATTTGTAACAAGTGACCAGAAAGAACGAGGCTAGACATATTCCACAACTCTTGTCAAACAGGGACGTCATAATTTATCTGGAGAGCATGCGCAATGGACTGGAATAACCAGACGCTAGAAATTGTCATTCTGTTGCTCAGACTCGTGCCGTATTTCTTTGGACATAACTGATTTGAAATTAGAGTCATACAGATTATGATTGTCAAAATTGTTAAAAATAGCCATACAGCTAAAACCTTAAACATCTTGATGAGTTGCTAGTTGAAGTTTATTATTCATAGCGATATTATTGTCATAATGCCACAAGTCAAATTTCTTGTTTGGGTAATATTATTATTTCCTAACAAAACCACTCATAGGTGGTGGGGCGTTTGGTTGAAATGGCGGAGGGGGGCCTTGAGCTCCCACAGGTCCAGTTTGTCCCATACTTGGTGGCATACCATGAGCTTGTGGTCTGATTGGTGGTGGTACCATGGTAGGTACCGGAGGAGGCTTATATTGAGCAAATGGGTGATCAGTTGAAGTTGGAGGAGGTTGAAATGTTGGTTGTCCTGGTGGCGGGGGTTGACTTCCAGCACGTTTGTGGACTCCTTCTGGTCCTGGCATCTGTGGAGTTATTCCTGATGATTCATAAATTTCTTTTAAAACCATCAACACAGTGTCTTCAGATTCCCTGCAAATGAAATAGAAACAAATTGGGATATTTTGTAAAATATATAAAGCTTTTTATGATTCAATTGTATTACAAACAAACATAGGGATTTCAGATCATAGCTAGACAGGGATGGAGCTAAAGAATTCCTAAAACTGCCAATTGTCTTTTCAACATTCATTCAGAGTGACAGTACCAAAGAGACAATTCAATGGAAAATTCAGCGTAGAAATTAGAACATATTAGTGAATTAAAACATTTATTTTAGCGCATGCACAAGTTTCTAAGCTGAAAATAAAAGAAGGCAACCATTTTCACATTATGAATAGGAAGGGGAAGCTTGCCATGACAGTTTGACACAGTGAAACATCTGCCAAAAGTGGCATTACTATTAAATACTTTAAAATTTAACATTACAAGGTTTCTGTGTGGTGAAATCTCTCAGAATATAATTATGACAAAGTCTTAGAGTCTGGTGTATTTTTGTCGTTTTAAATACAGTCCTGCAGGAAATTAGTATAGTGAGTCTGACCAAAACAAATGAAATTGATACTGATAGAAGAAGCAGGCAGAAAAATTTGCTAATTTCTCTGACATATAATGACGAGAAAATTCAGGCATCTTACCTAATGCGTGACCACATTGGGCATTTGACCAAATGACTAGATGTTTGGCCAAATGGTTTATTTAACAGATTGACTATAATATACGCCCGATTCTCCCAATAGCAATCTGGGTGCATCCAAAGATTACTTGAGATAAATCTATTCAGGACATACAAGTAACAGGAATTTATAGCTAAATATTGCCAGAATTTAATGTCTAACAACTGATGACTGAAGGAGTATATAAATAGTACAGAATTTCTAAGGATATGTACGTTAAATATGACGAAAACATTAGGGAATAAAACATGTGACCAACACCAACAAAAAAAGGAATTTGTCAATGAATTGAACAATTAATACTTGAGCAGTAGGCCTATTCGCTTTATCCACTCAAGGTATAAATGAAGGGAGCCAAGTAACTTACCAATAAAATCCACTAGATGAAAAGATAATGATAAATATACATATGAAGGCAAATGACCTGTCAAGATTTAAATCTAGGAAATTGATCAGTAAAAGATGTTTAATTTCGAAACTACAACAGTTCTACAGAAGTTTGTAAGCTCCTCATAATGAGAAGTAGTATGAGCTTATCTTATTATCGTATACAAGTTATTCAATTTGATGACAGATGGTGAAATGAAATGTTTATCATAGAAGAGAAGAGGTACCCATAGATGACTTCAACTTGATACAATATGGTTAGTGGTCTTTGTTTGCCGATTATCAAACAGATAAAGAATAAGATAAATAAATATGGTGTGTTAAATAAAGAAGTAATTTTACCAGTAACAGCCATGACTAGTTAAAGCAAATAAATAATCGTTGAAACTTTCTATAGGTTTTTCTTGCAGGACATAATCTATTCTTCTTCCAGCATTTAACTGTCCCATACTCACATCTTCGTCTGGATTAGATGTCACAGCTGAAATATATTAATTAAAATCACAAAGTCATATATGGGGGTCAATAATTATCATCTTATTAACACACTTTTGGGACAGGGCTATTTATAAGTATTTAACACTTTAACAGTCTAACAAGGTAAAAATTAAAAATGTATCATAACAAGTTAAAAATTAAAAATGTATCATAACAAGCTCAAGGGCCTTCGGAAGTGGTTTTCACTGTAATTTTAACTTCCTCAGGATTGTTTGTTAATATTAACATTTTAAAATTATATACTATTTGAGATTGAAATGATTATAGCCTGTATACATGTATGTAGATACAGTTGTTGCTCCAACCATTTAAAGAGAGAGAGAAATGGGGTTTAACATCCACTCGGGACTAACTTATAGTTCAATTTTATTTCAATAATTTGCTAGCGCGTAGGGGTCTTTAGCGGTGGGAGTAAACCGGAGGACCTGGAGAAAACCCACGAAGTTGGACATACGATCCTACTCCTTGCCACGTACCTGCTTATTATACTGATGGAAAAATAAGATAGGTTGTCTGAGCAGTCCTTAAAGGTTCTTGCATTGTGAATCATTAGGTAAATATAGGTTTGCTGCCAGGCACCAAAGCATACACTGATATCAATTAATGCATTGTGTAAATGACAATAAACATCATTATGTTGTATAATATCACTGGGGTATTCCCAAGATTACAAGATATACTCAAAGCCAATAACTACAAATAATTATCAAAAAAAAAAGAAAAAGAAAAAGGAACAAGTAGATCAGGTGGTGGCATTCATAAGTTTCTACAAAGTGAACGAGAGCTATAAACCTAGAAGTAATCATTGAAAATAGCCTAAATTCAATCAATATTTTGGTTTCACCAATTTGATTAATGCAAATAAATTTAATACAGATCAGATAATATCTTTTGTTGTTCACAAAATTCTACTAAGTGAAACAAGGGTAAAATCTATATTTTATTGTGGCACATGTATGTATTAATCATAAGTTACCAATACTTACAAGATGTTTCATCTTTATCATCTTGTATATTTAACTCTTCCATGGCACTTGACACATGTTTATCCATTTGTTCTTCTAGACTTTCCTCTGTAGAACGATGAGCCATAGCAAAATCTTGTATAGAATGCCATGTACTTTTCAATGATTCCATAAACTTATGTTTTAAGTCTGCACCAACTCGAGCTAAGCTTTCCTTTAACTCTATATTAAATAGAAAACCATCATTCTGTCAGTTATACAAAGAAATCGAGTTAAATAGCCATATATTTCATTACTACAGACCAATGACTATATTCCCAGATTTAAAAAAAATAACTATTTTCATATGAACAGTACAAAAAAAAAAAGTGGAGAAAAATCACACTAACTTAATAGTATTTATGGTTTTCTAATGTTATTATTTGTAAATTGACATTAAGGATAATCTGTCTGATGGTCAATTTCAAATGCCAGTCAATCAAAAGAGACAAATGTGTTGAAATAAGTAATCTATTTTTACCAAGATGCAATCTTTTTCGGCCTTTATGATGAGGTAAGAGAAATGGCTTGATCAAACTAGCAGCTGGATTCACTAAAGGTTCTAAACGATATGCTACTGGATCAAACTGTAAAAAAACAACACCCGAAAACATTAATATATATGAATTTGAATAATTCTTAAAAAAAAAAGTTCTTTGAAACTTTAGCATCAAATGATCACTATTGTACAGTCAGAAATAAACTATATTTGTTCTAAATGTCAAGTTAAAATTACTTTCTATGTGGCTTTAAACAGTGGTCTTTCTAAGATAACAGTAGGTAATATACATGCATTGGTAGACAAGTTTGCAAAAGACTATGATTTGTTAAAACTTTCAAAATGGAGGTTCAATTAATAATTTTTTTTTAATTTGAAATAAACTGTTTCTTGTTTGGAAGTACACAAAAATTTATTCAATTGCTTGCTAATACGATTTATTAAATTAATTACTCACTGGATGGAAGACATTATAAAACCTGGGACATGTTGGAAATTTAAATTCTTCTCCCATCTGTTCTACACCTCTAACAGATAGAAATACGCCTATAGGTGAACCAAGAGCAAATAAAGCTGATGGTGAGAAGAGTAGTTGTGGATATTGTACAAAAGGTTGACCAGTACCAGCTAATCCAGGTGTATATTGAACAGATGAACGTCCAGCTCCTCGTAATGCACTGAAACCACATAAAACAAAAATTATCTAAATTAAACATTCCCATTACATACAGTATTAGTAAGTTACGCAAACATACTACTATGATAGAAAAATACTTCATAGAGTTATAATCTTAACTTTAAAAGTCTTGTTGAAGTAGAAGTCCAACATTCGCAAAGTTCTACTTCATCCACTGTTTTCAATGTTCATAATTTAAAATAATCTTTATGTAAAAAGCAACTATTCAAGGAGGAAAATATCTTAAATGTAAAAACTACTAAATTTCTCAAGTTTTTTGGACATTGACTGTAAACTAAGCAGCTTAAAATTTCAAAAACCGAATTTAACTGAGCTAAGATTGATGCAGACAGCTCTAAAATCAAAAATTCTCTGACATAGTTAACTTATAAATCACATTATAGAAAACGAAAATAAAAAGCATAAATTTACTTTTGGTTTTCACTAAGTCCAACCTCTGCCACCATTTTTTCTTGCTGTTCTTTCATTTTTCTATCAGCTTCTTCTCTTTCAGTAGTCTTAATTAATTCTTTCGCTTTTCTTTCCTGAAGTTGATAATTATTTTTAAAAAGTGGTAAAGGATACCTAGAACATTGTTTTACAGCTAGTCTACACAGTCAATGAAATGAAAAATATACAAAAGTCTTTTAATGATCCAATCTGAAGCGAAGTAAATTATGTTAAATATATAATCAAATCATGTAATTATTCCTTGAAGGTATATTGTGCATTCTGCCAGGCATTAATATATATACACTACAATCAAAATATAATTCACTGTTGTGCAGCAGGTTTACCTTTTTGCTTTGTTCTTCAGCTAGAAGGCCTTGTAATTTTTTTCTAGGTCCCATAGGTAGACCCAAGTCTTTCAGATCTTGTTCACTACACATAATCTGTACAACATTAAATAACAGTATTAATCTTAATATATATAATATGATCATTACAAAATAAACATTGATTCATTCATAAAAGATTGATTATCATGGTAGAAAGCCAATGTTAGATAGAAATTAGTGACGAATTTATCTATGTGCATCTTGTAAAAAACTTTGTTTTAAGACTATTGTACTAACTTTTTATTGGCTAGTACAGATATATGCACACAATAATTTCATGTTTAATAGCTGGATCATTTATTTTCAAATAAATAACAATTTGTATTAACTGTATAAAGATAGTGAATAGAAATACTATATTTACCAAGGCTTCCATGTCCATTTGTTCTTGTGTAAAAACTTCTAGTTTATCCTGTAGACCAACTTTCTCTAATAAATCTTCTAAACTTAACTCAGGAGATTCTTCTCTTAACTCTTTGTTCTGAAAATAAAATAGATATAAAATTTTAACAAATATTGACATTTCTAAATCATTCTTACAATAAGTTCTTCAGAAAGTTAGCTATGATCTTGACCCCCAATTAGAGCTCTTGTAAAGGATGTAACATGTAATAATACAATGCCATACAAATCAATGATACACAAAAAAAGAAGTTTTACTTTGATTCAGCGAAAGTTCAAGATGATTCTTGGGAAATAGAGAAATGAAATGAAATAGGGTTTAATGTTCTACTTTTTTGCACCGACTGGGCTAATTAAAGATACATTATGGGAGATTAGAAGAGTGCTGGCAGTTCTCACTATAATATACTATTCAAAAAAAGTAGGGGATATTTGATTTTGGGGGCATAATACTAAAATATGCAAATGACTACGAAAAAAGTCACTATAGAACCTAACAGAAGAAACATTTCCAGTTACATGTGACGCCCAAACGCACCAATAGCTACCGCATGGAATGCAGGTGATGCTTGGGATCATCATGGGGGTCCAACCCAAGATTTGCACGACTCTGACTTTGAATGTTACAGTCATTGTGGCATTGAATTCCAGGGTGGAAACATCAGATTAATTGTTTTAGTGACCAGAAAACACATTTTGATATGCGTCGGCTTACCCAAAATGAAAGGTTACGTGCCCTTGGCATGCTACAGATCGGCACAACACAGGCGGTTGTGGCGCGGACGATGAATGTTTCTCAGTCTGTCATAAGCAGGCTATGGTCCAGATACCGTGATACACAATCTGTACAGGACAGACCACGCTCAGGTCGACCAAGGGCGACAACTCAAGCCCAGGATCGATTTATCCGTACCTTGGCCTTGAGAAATCGTGTCATCACAGCAAATCAGACCAGCGCTCGTCTTCAAACAGACACTGGTGTGAGAGTGAGTGGCCAGACGATTCGGAATCGACTGCATAGGGGTCACCTTCGCGCCCGACGTCCTCGCGTGATCCCTTGTTTGAGAGATCATCACATTCAGGCAAGACGTCGTTGGTGTAGGGATCGTCAACACTGGGATAATCGACGCTGGAGCAATGTGATGTTTTCAGATGAGTCAAGGTTCACTGTTGATTTTTTGGACAGACGTAGGAGAGTGTGGCGTCGTCGAAACGAGCGCTTCCAAGACGTTAACGTCATCAGACATGATCGATTTGGGGGTGGTTCTGTTATGGTGTGGGGAGGCATCACTGTTGCTGGAAGAACGGCTTTACATGTTGTTGCAGGGCGTGTTACAGGCCAGTACTACCGGGACAACATCTTGGCAGTCCATGTTGTGCCGTTCGCACGACGTCATGGCCGCCGTTTCATCTTCCAGGATGACAACGCAAGATGTCACAGGGCCAGGATCGTTACAGGTTACCTCCAACAACAGAACATCACCACATTACCTTGGCCAGCACTGAGTCCCGACCTCTCCCCCATCGAGCATGTCTGGGACATGCTTGGACAGAGGTTACGTCAACGTCAACAACGTCCTGCCAATGTCCAAGAACTTGCTGCTGTGTAGCAACAGGAATGGGACAATCTGGACCAAAATGACCTTAGACGTCTCATTAGGAGTATGCCACGTCGGATCAATGCTTGTTTGGCAAACAGAGGAGGATTTACCCGTTACTGACTTGGTTGTGATGCTGTGGTAACTTTGCTGTTTGACCCCGGGTATCATTTTACCCTTATAATGGTCAGTCTGTGCCTTACTTAGTCTAACGATCATTTGGAATAAATCGATGAATGTGAACTTCATTTCATTTTGTCATTTGTTTCTTCGTCAGTTTCATTAGGTGACTTTAATAACACTTAAAAATCAAATATCCCCTACTTTTTTTGAATAGTATAGTTAAAAACTTGATAATGTAAAGAGAATTTGCTGAAAATTTCAGTCAAATTGATCCACTCTGAACAGAGAATTTAGTGATTGAATTTTAGGCCTAGCCTCGATCATCATTACTAAAGTCGGTATGATAAAAAACAGTCTTGATTATCGATTTTTTTTATTTAATCATCAATGAGCGTTGAGCAGCAGATCGGATTCCGATCCAGTAAATATGGCAGGCTAGCGATGACATCGAGAGTTGATTATAGTCTGGATAAGTTAATTAATGTCTAATTAATAATTTAGATAACATTTCAGGCCTAAAGAAAAAGCTGCAATAGGCAGCTTAGCTCTTGCATAATGTATGTTTAAGACAGGCATATGTGGGAAATTTTGCCTGGACAGCAGCACTCCGGCTTACTCTTCTTTCGAATTCCAACTTTCATTAGTTCTTTCACATGCACACCAATATCCTTGGGTTTATGTACTATCTGAATGACTAGACACTGTTCTTTGTCAGGTCCTTCGTCCTGCACCACTGACAAGGGGAAACCACATTGGAAGTTTCTGAGGAATTTTCTCGGTCAACAATGTGAGCGAACACGAGACCTCCTTTTTAGCGAACCAGGTCTTACTGACTGAGCCACCAATGCTCTTTTAGGAAATAGCATTGCAAACCATAATCTACTTTTTGTCTGATGATGTCAACAAGAATACCCATAACAAATAGTGAGAAATACATACTTTTTCTTCTTCCTGTACATGTTTTTCAGCAGGTACCTCAGTTGGGGGTGTGGTCATATCCTTAGGTGCATTAGGATCAATTTGATGTAATAAAAGATCAAATAAAATGGAAGAACCTGAAATATATCAAGTAAAGAATGAAGTTAGAAAGTACAAAAGATAGAACTATGGACAGATGATTATACAGATTGAATTATAAATATGATATGAATAGTTAGACATTAGAATTTAAAGAGTTTTCAAAATATGCATTACGTAGGAGCTAAATCTGCTTATTGGCTTCAAATGTTATATAAATTATTATTTAAACATTTATTAACATGACAAGCCTATAATCAACTCTCTTAAAAAAACGCAGCCATTTAGGAATTTAATGATAATTGAAACTTTGCCTGTTGCTACGGCAATAAACAATATACGCTACATTTTGTGAAACTTCAAACACTCATAACTTTGCAATGAATTTAAAACAATATTTCCTTTACTAATTTTCTTTGACAAATAACAATTTAAATATGTAAGATGATTGTAAGGAATATAATTTATTTTTGAAACAAGAAGGTTTGGATAAAGTTAATATTAACTTAAAGGGACATTATAATTAGGTAAGATTAGATAAAGAGCTAACCGTTCTCGCTATAATAGTTATAATAATATGCTGAATATTTCAGATAAATTGCTTCACTCTGAACCGAGATATTAGCCATTGAATTTTAGGCTAGTCTCGGTCGTCATTACTGAAGTTGGTATGATAAGAAACAAAGTCTCAATTATCCATTTTTACATTAAATTATCTATCACAAAATGTATTCAAATCCAGTAAATATCGCAGGCTAACGATAGCACCAAGAGTTGTTTATGGTCTGGATAAGTTAATTAATGTCCAATTAATAACTTAGATAACATTTCAGGGGCAAAGAAAGACCTGCGATAGCCAGATTTAGCCCTTGCATAATGCATGTTTAATATAGTATTTAGTAGAAATATACAAAAGAAATGTATAATAAATTACTGAATGTCAAATATTTTAACTAAAATAAATTTTCAACCAATTACTCCTGAACAGTGAAATTGAAAATTAAAAAAGGTGCAAACAGAATAATGAATATTTTTACCTAAACTGTGACCAGCCACCGAGACAGAACCTTTAAATGATGGATGTCTTGATAAAAATAACTGATAAATACGATTAATTTCTCTTCCTACTGTTTCAGCTATTAACTGAAATACAACAAAAAACAGTGAAATTGGGAGTTTGATTAGATCTTAATTAAGTCATGATGTTATGAGTATGACTTTATTTGTAAAATAATACTATTAGGTAAACAAGAACGATTTGCAGAAAAGATTTCAGATCAAACCATTAAACTATAGGAAAGCAAATGTATGCTAATAAAATAGAAATAAACAGAAATTCTTATCTATAGAAGAAATGTTCAAATTATCTCTTGTTTTTGTCGTAAAAGGAGGTACCTTTTCTAAATTAGGAAGTAAGATATAGCAAAAACCTAATTCTAAAACAAGCAAAGTAGACAACTTTATAAAAGGTTTCATAAAGTATTTTTTATTCTATCTATAGCTAGCCTAATGCACATGGTTATAATGGTTTTAAAATAGAAAAAGTCAAACACGCAAATAATGTAATTTTTTAATTGGCTCCAGAGGTTAATATTCAGAAAGGTATGTTTAACATCTATTATTTATAGAAACATACGAAACTGTAGACCACTCTATTATTACTTTACGTTTTTTATTTAAAATGTTTATTATTGGTGATAATGTATTAAAATCTAATTTACCTGACAGTAAGCGGGACTGGTATAAAATAGAATATCTAATAATGTATCATTAACAAACTCTCGTAACTTGGCTGTACTTGGTAATGTGATGGCTTTTAATCGTCTGCAGAAAATAAAAATCATTTTGAATTTTATGTCAACTTTAGTGGCTTTTGTGGACACTGAATTCATACACAGACCAGTCTGGGACTTTCAAACCCGTGATTGGCATTTAGAGATTAAACCCCGAGACTTCCAGGTTTTCCAAAATTAATGAATATCTTGAATCTTTCACAAAATAATACAGAGATCATAAAGATCTAGTCCAGACTACTTTACTTTTTATGGTTTTGGGGTCAGGAAAGTATCTCCAACATTTATAGAACTCTTCCTTGCCTACCTAAATAAGCACTGGACATCAAACAAATTCAGGTTTAGGGAGTATTGTTGATTTCTTGCCAAAATAATAAATTAAAGGGCCTTGAGTGAAAATTGTCAAGGCACTACCTTAGTTCAGGATCTTTTCAAAGATAGCACTAAAATTGAAGAGAAGATGAAGATAGAAGAAACTAATGACTTACTTATCTATACCAGTAGCATCAGAATGTAGAAACTTGTGCCAATGTACAGGTAAAAACTCCACTCTATTTAATCTACCAGTATCTTTATATATTTTAAAATGGCTGTCTAATAGACTGTGAGATATTGACCGGAAATCATCAACTAGACATAAGGAATTTACAAAGAAATAAAAGAAATTATCATTCGACACAAATTTAATAATAGTTATATTATGTTCTGTACATACTTTTATCAAAATGAACATAATATTTCAAACTGAAGACTAGAATGATGTGAAGTGAGAAATCTAATATGCATATGAAGATTTTATCATGATTTAGTATCTGAGAAATAAATTTTTAGCTGCATCATTATACTGCACCATATGCCATTTGCTAATTGTTTTATTTATGTCGCAAATCTTTAAGAATGGAATAGATGTACATGTATCAGCAAAGCACGCAGACAAAATAAACATGTAGATTGCCAGATTGCCAGGCAATGAAACACAAGCAGTTCACAAAGGTTCTCAGATTTCATTCTTCTTTTCACAAGACACTAAACATGTACAGGTAACCAGATGATACTTTAAGATATTGGAAATCTTTAAAAATCAATACATTTCAACTCATAAACATAAACACTATGTATAAATTTAAAATCAGTTGGATGATAAAATTAGCCTTTGGAGTATTCACAACGTTTTTCAAATCGATGGAAACCATACTTACCACATTCAACTATACTTCTAAATTTAACATCACAATATGCACCAATACCATGTACTACAAATACTAGATGATCTATCTGGTTTGATTCACCTATAGTAAATTCAATATAGAACAGGATTACGACTTCTATGTTAATGGCTCTCATTTACAATATTCCCCAGCTAGAAAACATTACAAGTTTTGTCATTGTTATTATTATTTTTTGCATGTATAATTGTCAATGCTAGATTGAACAAGAGACTGTCACAGAGAAAGGAAATTGTATTTTTATGAAGTGAATATACTGGGGTCTCACTGAAATGTTGAGGATTAAGTCTTTTTAACTTAAGGAGCACATCAAGTGACCAGACAATATTATATGTACGTATAGCCAGTGTATACACATTACAGCAAGTTCACACCAATCTTATTAAAATTATCTGACATATTTCAATTACAACCTTAATCCGGTTGATTGGCTGGTGACGTCACAGGGACCGCACATCCAATATACAATTTTATGATTGTATCACTGTCTATTACACACCGCCAGTTGACTAATGTTTATTGACGATTCACTTATCGTTATAATTATTATCTCGTTATAATTATCTACATGTAAAGCAGCTAAAATCACTATATAAGTCAACGCATTTTTAAGAGCTGCCTTTCTCATCTTGAATTGTTATGGATTACATACTGGTGTCGATGACAAACGTTAACGAACGAAAATAATGTAAATATTGGAAACAAGTGGCTATGATATCATTTTGTGGGGAGTATTTATGCATTCCTGTTATTTTTTTATCATTTTGTCTAGTTTGGTATGATGTATGAATATGGCACTATTGCGTGTCGCACGTGCAGCTCAGTGGTTCTGTTGGGGCGATAAGTTCTTCATCTGTGAACACACTCTCAAAGCATGTCAAGTGTCCATGACTATTTATCATATATCACAACCTGCATAGGTATTTGCATTTCAATATCCCCTACTTTTTTTTTGAAGAGTATATAATATGATTAGAAGGTCTGATTCCTGTGCTTCAACACACATGATACTATAAAATCTTTATACAAAGCAATAACTCACCATCTTCTATTGTTTCAAAATCATCTACTCCTCGTTTTACAACTTTAGGTCTCATCTGATCTCCCTATAAAAAAAAACAAATCCATGATATAGTGATTAAGCTATGACAGCCTCTTATTGACTTGCTCACTTCGTAAATAATACTGTCTTCATTAGCCCGGTTGGTGTACAAACCCCATTTCATTTAATTTCAATATATCATAAAATTATCTCAAAATTGGAATTAAGTTGAGTATTTCGATTCACTTTACAGAAAAAAAATACAATCATAAAAACTATGTGCAACAGAAATAATTGTAGATAAGTTTTCCTTTGCTTTTTTTTAAAAGTTAATAATAAGAATGTAAAAATGCATGTATTTAATTATAAAAACAAAGATCATATCCCTCAGACAAAAGTTTTAGTTTGCTAATTAACCTCAGGAAAAGCGAGAGAGTGCATAGATGCTTTGTGAATCCACTGATATAGGTTGTGCCAAATTATAAACAATCATCACTACAAACTAAATAGCCCTAGTCTCTAAACATAGCGTGGCCAGGAAAAGAATATACATGTACACACACACACACTCAGCAATCTGAATGATTGCTTACCTGGGAGGGTGAGGGGGGTATAAGTTTGGGTAAGGGGGCCAATAGCTCTGTTTGAAATTGAATTAAACTATATGAACAAAGCCAGTAAGTTTGAAACAGTAACTTTGAATTTCGATAAGGTTTCTCTTTTAGGATTTGTCAACCAATCCCAGCAAGTTTAAATCAAAAATAATGTCAAAGCCTTTAAAAGAACTGTGTATGGACCAGGGGAAGAATGGACTGAAGGACAGGGTGGCAATAATATACTACCACGGCAATTTTGAGTGTATAAAGACATTTCCATCAAGAGCAAGGTATTTTTATTTTTTTATTTTTTTAATGTTCTGCACAAACCATAAAATCCTTGTACTGCTTCACACTAAACAATAATGGGAAAATGAGGTAGCAAAAATATCTTATAGAAAAACTACAGCCTTTAAGTATAAAAAAAACCTTGAAATAAAAAGCACATGCAAGATTAAATATCTCATTAGATTTTCTCTAAAATCCATCTTATTTATCAATCATCAATCCATATATTCTCAATGATATATTCAATTATCAACATTGCAAAGTTACATAGCCTGTACTTAGTTACATATTCTGTAATATCTCAACAGATCCTCAGATTTTTAACATTATTGTGTTGTGTTGATATATTTGACAAAAACAAAAATATATTGTTAGTTGTTATCTCAATAACTTTTATCATTATTGTAAATGTTATAATCTATTTACAAGCATTAATAATTATTTTTTTAACTAGAGGTTGCCAGGCAATATACGCCAACATTTGGCAAGAGATGGATATAGAACAAGCTAAAACAAAAACGTGATTTTTCATACAATCAGGGGCCATAATCCAAGAAGTTACAGTCTGAGATCTTTGGGATATAAAGATATATTTTAAGTTTCATAAAAATTGGCCAAAAATTGTGACCTCTAGAGGGTCCACAACCTTTGTATTACATACTCTTACACAATTTGAGTACAAAGAGCGGCCATTTTGTTGGGCAGTTCTGATTCTATTTGTACTCCACGCTCATTATGGTATAACAATGATATAATTAAAGAGTTTTTAATATTGGATCAAAATTGCTACCTAAGCTAAAAATGTGGTTTTTCGTTCAATCAGGGGCCATAATCCAGGAAGTTATAATCTGATATTCCAGAATATCGAAAGGAACCGAGGTCTTTCAGACATTAACATAAATTTTAAGTTCCATCAAAATCGAACACAGATAGTGACCTCTAGTGGGTCAACAACCTTGGTATTACATACATTGTACTTATACACTATTTGCGTTGAAGGAGCAGCGATTTTGTCGGGCAGTTTCGGCCCAATTTTTACGAAATTCAGTCATTAGGGTGTAACAGTGATACATTTAAACGTTCTTTAAAATCAGATATAAATTGTGAATCCAGGAAGTTATGGTCTGATATGTGCAAACATCGAAAGGAACAAGATCTTTGGATTAAAAACATACAATTCAAGTTTCATCAAAAACGAATAAAAATTGTGACTTCTACGGGCCATAATCCAGGAAGTTATGGTCTGATATGCGCAAATATCTAAAGGAACAAGATCTTTGGATTATAAACATACAATTCAAGTTTCATCAAAATCAGATAAAAATTGTGACTTCTAGAGTGTCCACAACCTTGGTATTACATACTTTTACACTATTTGTGTACGAGCGGCCACTTTGTCCGGTAGTTTTGGTGAGATTTTTATGAAATTCAAACTCAACCTTCATTGATGTCTAACAGTTATATATTTAAACTTTTTAAAATTGAATACAAATTGTGACTTCTAGCAGGTCAACAAGCCATAATTCAGGAAGTTACATTAGGATGTAATATTGATATATTCAAACGTTTTTTTTAAATCGGATAAAATTGGTGACCTCTAGAGGGACCACAAGATAAAAACGCGATTTTTCGTACAATCAAGGGCTATAATTCAGAAAGTTACAATCCGATATGCACAAATATTGAAAGGAACCAATATCCTTGGGTTATAAACATGAATTTCAAGTTTAATCAAAATCAGATTCAGATTGTGACTTCTAGAGGGTCCACAACCTTGATGTACCATATTTTTACACTATTCGCGTACAAGGGGCGGCCATTTTGTACGTCAGCTTTGGTCCGATATTCATGAAATTTGAATTCTATGGACATTTCGGTGATATATTCTAACATTTTTATAAATCGGATAATAACTGTGACCTCTAGAGGGACGACAAGCTAAAAACACAATTTTTCGTACAATCAGAGGCCATAGATCAGGAAGTTACGATCCGATATCCACGAATATTGAAAGGATCCGAGATCTTTGGGTTATAAACTTGCATTTGAAGTTTCCTCAAAATTGGATCAAAATTGTGGCCTCTAGAGGATCCACAACTTTGATATACCAGATGTTTACACTATTTGCGTACGAGGGGTGGCCATTTTGTCCGGCCGTTTTGGTCCGATTTTCATGAAATTCAAACTCAGACAATATTACGGTGTAACGGTGATATATTATAAGTTTTTTTTAAATCAGATAATAATTGTGACCTCTAGAGTGTCCACAAACTAAAAACACGATTTTTCATACAGAGGCCATAATCCATGAAGTTATGGTCCGATACATGTCAATATCGAAAGGAACCAACGGCATAATACGTCCACATTTTTTATGTGGACGTATAAAAAACTCTATCACTATCATGCATGTTAATTCTACTATGAAAAACAAAACAGCACTCCCTCAACTCACCAAAGGTGATGCATAAACACTCTGTTAAAATTAATCATAATGACATTACTATTACATCATAATCTTTATAGGATCTTTTGTCTTATTATTAATCTTTGAAATAAATAAAGCATACATGAGTCAAATTATTACACATATGATAAATGTGCAATATGCAGTCTATTTTAGTTATCAGCACAATAACTTAATTAGGTAAAGGAAAATCACAGGAAGTTTCTAAATCTATTTATATGTCTATTTTTAAATCAAGTGCTGTCAGAAATTGTTTCATTAAGATAAAAAAAAAAGTAACAGGACAGAAAATAGAATATGAAATAAAACAGAATATTTAAAAAAGGGAGGAAAAGCAAAATTGTAGAGTTAAAGTGACCATTATAAATAATCATGTTGAAATTCTTACGGGCTGTATCCGAGGTGATGCATGTAAAACAATTAAAGTCATTGCTAAATATTTTTGGCAATCAACACCAACTGATTAAAAACTAATACTTGTTTTGAATAAACTTAAACTTTCTGTATCAAAATGTTTTTTTTTAGCAATGCCTTCCTTCCATCTTAAAGTAAAACTAAATTCAGATACCAGGATTTGGTAAGGTTTTCCAAACTATTCACTACAGAAAATAATTATATTGTACCACCTGAATGGTTCCCCATTCATCAGACTGGGATGAATAAGCTCAAACTAATACTTTCTGTATCAAAATGTTTATTTAACAATGCCTTCTTATCATCTTAAAGTAAAACTAAATTCAGATTCCAGGATTTGGTAAGGTTTTCCAAACTATTCACTACAGAAAAGAATAATATCGTACCACCTGAACGGTTCCCCATTCATCAGGCTGGGATGAGGCTTGGAAATGGACAATAACATTTGGGTTGTGCATCACAATTGTCTCTCCTCCGGGGAATTCCAATCTTTTATGCCATGCATTGTTTTCTACAGCATTTCTATACTCTTCCTATAAAACATAGTAAGTAAAAATTTCATTGAAACAATACTTAAAATTAAAGGGCCTATCTTGATTTTATTTTGGAGAATAAAACTGCTTAATTTTGTGTTAAAAGCCCTTAAAATCCTCTATCTTAGGACTGAGCAACTAACTCAATATATGCGATATGTTTTCAAACAACTTAAACCTGTCCGTTCTCATCTGGAAATGGAGACCAGTGTCCCAAGCTGTATAATACCGTGTCTGGATAAAACCAAACATGTAGGTGAAATTTACCCCTTTCATTATTAAGTACAGCAAGTGGGTCATATACTGTATAGACCTCTAAAAGTCTGTGAAAGTCAAAACCACTTATCCAGACATGTATCCCTTTTAAGATATCGGGTCAATTTTTTTGTTGGGTGATTATCAGGTCACCCAACAAAAAAACTGACCCGATATCTTAAAAGGGTTACAAATTCGGATAAATGGTTTTGACTTTCACAGATATTTATTTCTGAGACTCTGTTAAAATCAGATGGTCCCTTTAAAATGCATAAAAAATTAAATTATTGTCTGAATGCATACGGCTTAAGATGTAAATTATGCACTTAAAACATGTACAATGTAATATAATGATGCATCTAGGAAAATTGCCGGCAAGGAAACTGGCAGCAGGACATTTGGCGACAATTTTATTCATGCTTTTAGTATAGTTTATTAAATGATGTACATGTATAAGCCCTATTAATATCAAGTATTTTTTTTGTATAAACAATATTTTATTCACAGAAAAGGATTGAGGAACAGGCTAGGCCTATTACAAGTATCTATACATGTAATCATTATCAAAACAAAATAACATAACTGTTAATTTTATTGCAAGTAAAAATAACTACGATTCATTTTCCAAGACAGTATTTCAATTGAAAATAGTTATAAAATAAATAATCAATATTTGAGCACAATACAAATGCCAGAACAGATTATAGCTGGGGAAAAAACTGTGCAACACAAGAAGTAATGGAAGTTGTGCAGATCTTTTAAGTAAAATGAATCTAAATATATATAGTACTGTCACGTGAATGATATGATAATAATATCTAATAAAATATTAAGTATTTTGTTATTATTTTTAATTCATCATGGTAACAAAAAGAGCATAATAAATACAAAAAAAAAAAAAACAATGTCGCTGGCAAATGTCCTCACTGGCAATTGTCCTGATGTTGCTGATGACATTTATAATTTTTGACGTCTGATACTGAATTAGAATCGCCATTATCTGTTACATATTACCTCCAGTTTTGATGAAAATTCTTCATCATAAGGAAAATATCTGTGCGATCCTTCCTTCTTGTGAAACCAGGAACATCGTTGAACTTGTTTAACATCTTCATCCCAATATATAGCAATACGCTCTCTCTTACCAACATTGACATCATATCTACCACCATCAGTTGATACAATAGTATTATCTAGATCCTGTTTTAAACCTATAAAAACAAGCCAACAGTGAGGCTGATATCCCCGCCGAAATCCCAAAATAAATAGATGACACATATTAATTAATTAATAAGTCCCGAAATGACCTAGTTTGTGTCTAGTGGACGTTAAACCCCATTTCTCTCTCTCTCTCATATTAATTAATGACACATTTATCTTTTTCAAAAGTATCGAACAATCAAACTGATTATCAACTATACACTAAGTTTCATAACTTTCTATCAGATAGACTCAAAGTCAAAGAAATTGCTTAATCATTGAACTCAGTCAAGACATTCACCTAATGAACAACTATGCCAAGTTTAAACATTCTACCTCAATTAAAAGCAGAGTTGTTATGTTCCAAGGTTTTGACCAATCAAACTGCTTATCGCTCCTTAGCCTAAGCAGAAAATTCTTAAGTTATTACCGTTTGTAGTTTTGACAAGATGTGTGTATTGACTGTTTTGAATACAACCTCTGTAAATATGATATTTCTGTAACAAACATTAATTGTATTCTGTTCAAAGATGAAAATAATGCTAACATTCATGTTTCTATGACTGCTGGTGCTATTTCTGATATGATTTATCTTATTGACAAACGTAATGAAAATAAAGAACATCTAAACTGTATATTAGAATACCTTTGTACAAAATAAGTTTATAGACATATATTTATTTTTGTAAGTGTATTGGATTATATTGTACTTTGGGTACGAATAAATATATTATTATTATTATTGTGTATTATCATTATCGTAACCACGGTGCTGCTATATTTGAGGCTTAGCCTCGCTTTCCCAGTTTTAAATCAAATCATTACAAGGCCAAACCGTTATAATCTAGCTAAAATCTTGAGTATCTGATGGCGCCGAGAGTTGGTTTTGGTCTTGTCATGTTAATAAATGTCTAATTAATAATTCATATAACATTTAAAATGTAAGGCCTAAAGAAAGACCTGAAAATTCAGCTGTTGAATAATGTATCTTTAAGGATTAATTAACACGATACTTTTCTCAAAAATCAATTGCACTTTTGCATCCTCCTCCAATTTTAATGGAACTAATTTGTGAAAATATCCACAGTAACATATTTCTAAACAACATGTATTCTACTGTGGTATCCTTGAAATTATGACTTAATTCCAGTCTTTTGGGGTTTTTTTTGTGTTTTACTACAATTACATGACCTGGTCACATATCCTAATCGTATAGTATGTTAATATTTCAGGGAATAAGTGATGGTCCCATATTGCCACCTATAGGTTTTACTGATATCAGATATTGACAGTGAAATATATCGCCGATACAGATACAATTACCGATAGTGGTGGATATAAAACTATTACATATTAAAATGTCTCAAATGGCATGATAATCTATGTAGATATTCGTCAGGAAACGCAATTGTACTATTTTACCGTGGGAATGAAACGCGAACGCTGTGTTTTTGAAGTAATAATTGGGTCACGCTTACTACACAATCAAAATTACACACCATCTATTATGAACTTAATTATTTGCTTTATCATTAATTAATCAAGTCGAGATTATCATATTTTAAGTGTTGATTACGATATAATTCCCTAAAGTGATCGGCACATGTATGTCTATAATAGTTGCCGAAATTGTTGTAACGCGGTAATGAATGAAACATCAAAGCGATGGCTTCTTGACCTGTGTGTCAACAGTGGCAATCATGTGACATTCTCCCGACATTTCTAGAACTAGTTAAAAATAAAACATCTAATGGGAACTTATTCGTTTGTAATATTATTAATTAATAAATTATGATCTATATTATGAGTCATTATTTGTTGATACAATTTATAATCCTCTGAAAACGATATCTGTATGTGTATAGAAACGTAGCATGTTAATAAATTCAGAAGTAGTATATCCATATAAGTGTGTTTTATTTTTAGATACAATTTATGTAAAAAAAATTTTTAAAGTAGCCTCGCATAACTATACAAATCACTAAATTATTTCTAAATTTTTATCGGCATCTAGAAGCCGGAATGTCTAACAGTAATCACGTGACATCAAAGGGATATCTTCCCTTTCATCCTTCATTCCAATCACGCTTAAACCATGTGATACTTTCCATCCTTTTCCAAAAGTTCTACTTATTATGATAGTGTGCAGACAATACCAGCAGTGAACTAAATAAAACGATGGAAAAAAATGTCGCGAAGTTGTAAGATTTGGAACTACTTCACGATAAGCGATCGAAGTAAGGCCAAATGCAAGATTTGCCTGAGCCATTGTTGATATCTTCTTTAGTTTTATTATCGCGAATCGTGATAGACAAATAACTATTGTGGGGGTCATTGTTTATTTCATAGTTTATAAATTTGTGATTACTTATCAGAAACAATTTAAATAAAAAATTCAATAGCGTAATTAGGTATTGTTCTAGTTTGTGATCTTGTAATATCAGCACGCATTGAAAACAGATTGAAGAGAGTCCGCCGCGACTTATTGACTGTGTTTCCCAATTCTATGAATTTGATTATCATGCAATTGGCTTATTGCCTATCACAATCAAAAGTTTTACCGGGTAGACTTTTGTAGGTAATGTCTGTCTACACATGCGCAGAAATGATATTCTCAAAAATCGCATTGAGAGACTCGAAATCTCAAACAGTGTGTGAATAAGGATTTAAAAAATAACAGAGACCGGTTAGGATTTTGAACAGTTTATTCTTTTCTTTTTACGGTCCCTTATGACACACCTATATTACCGGTACGTGCAAACAGCAACGCACACAGCAACCGAAATAAAACTTTAATTTTGGTTGCCGTGCGCGAGGCAATTTAGATAACGGAAACCGGTAAGGATTTTATACTTTTCTTTCCCTTTTACAGCCCTGATGAGGTTCTTGGATTACCAGTACGTCTAAATAGGAACAAGTTTTATTTCGGTTGTTGTGAGCATGGTTATTTAGATGTACCGTGTGTCAATAATTTTAAGGTATTTACCGAGTTGTTACTGATTTCTCCCGATAGGCCACTTATCGGCTAATTAGTGATTTTGAAACCGATTATCGAACCATCACTACAGGGAATTGACGCTTACTGACTCTAATTTCTAGTAATCTAATTCTGACTTCTGTTATTGGGTGAAACAGAAACCCTGCTTCAATTAAAAAGAGAAATAGTAAGGAAATAATTATATATCTTCATTTACTTTAAGTTTAGATCAACAAAATTTAAAACTAGAGTGAAATAAGGCTCCAATTACAATTAAATCAGGTAAAATAAAAAAAAAGTATTAACAATAAATACCTGTAAGAAAGGCCTCTTCTAATTTTAATGAATCTCGGATTGTAAATGGTTTCCAGATGAGTTTTTTTTCTACTATAGTACTAAAACACCAGTGATACTGTACAGGTTGATATACAAAACTACTAGTTGATGATTGGGGTTGGGCCGGGTTGTAATAAGGCTGAGACTGGTTATATGAAGACTGCTGTGACATTGGAGGAACCATGGCTGTTGGAGGTCGAGGAGAAGAATGAGCCAGTGGAGGAACAAAGGGTGAACTTGGATTTGAAGGGAACTGATTGGAAGTTGATGGAGCATTTGCATAGGTTCCTTGAGGAAGTTGGGCATATTGTGGTCGTCCCTGTTTACGAAACATATTTCCACTCACTGGAGTTCCTGAAAATAAAACAACAATATCAAAGATCTAAAAGTATGGTACAATTGTAGATCATTAGGTTAATTACTACAATGTGCAACACCCGAATAACCTAATTTTATTAGGAATTATGTTCTTCTTTTATAGAATGTTACTACATGTAATTAAATAAGAAGGGCATTTTTATCTGTTATTGGCATCTTGCCAGCTACTTGAAAGCATGCACCTTGTCAAAGATATGACACTTGGAGAAACAACATAACAGTTACATCTACATCAATTACAACAACCTGAGAATATTTGAGGTCACATATTATTATCATAAGCTACATGTAGGGTGCCCCACCATAAATAAATATCTTCAAATATCTCGACAATAACACCACAATATTACACCAAGCCTTAGATCAGTTTCAAACATTTATAGTCACTAAATAAACGGTCATGCTGTACTTAATAAGCTATGACCATTTAATCATCCATAAATAATACTCTGAAAGATGGTTACTAGTGTCGACCACAACATCCGAGCACATGTGAGTAAAAAATAGGTTACGTGCCCTACGTGTCTCGCTTAACCAGTCTACCAACCATTGTACATTTGATGACAGGCTGGGATAATCAAGACTATTTTTTTACAAAACATAACAGAAAGCTGGAAAAAGAAATTGAATTTAGAAACATGCACGTTGGGCAACTCAACAATTGTTTTAAGAACCTTGTAAAAGTAAAATTAAACTACTGCTAGTATCGTGTTCTTGCCCAACGCAAGTATTTCAGAGATATTATTTGTACTAAACCAAAAGATGCCGCTCCTAACGGTACAGTTAATGATAAAGCAATTTAAAAAATAAAACAAACGTAATTTCTAAGGCTGCTGTAATAACCAATAAGCTAAATATTACTGCTATTCAGAATCGTCAACAATAGATTTTTTACGGCTGTAATAGTTGATAGATGTGTAGAGAATTACACATGCGATGGCTATTTATAGTATCATAGACTCTACGGCTGAATATTATCATACTGCGTAGTAAGTGAGAAATCACTTTAGACAAGCCACTGAAGCGTGTACATTCGCCGTGTCGAGACCAATTTTCTGTACGGAAAATCTTGGGAGCACAGGTCACCCTACATAAGCCTAACAGGGAGCACAGGTCACCCTACATAAGCCTAACAATTTCACATTCACCAAATATCTGTAAACTATACCAATAGAAATTAGAATTGGACATTTGATTCTTTATAAAACTTCTAGTTTTCGAAGAAAATAAACATGACATTACAAATACAATACACACATGTACTTATGTAGGCATATAGAATGTGAGTGTATAAATATGGTGAAGATAAGTTACATGTAAATGATGTATTACATTCATTAACAAACTTACTTTCTTTTTGTTGATGAGTGTTTCTAAGTAACATGTCCATTTGAAATATCACAAACATAGAGAACTCAAATTCTGTTCCATCCAAACATAAAACAATCAGAGTTCTCTTTTATCAACTTATCAAAAACATTTTCTCAATGAGATATAATCACACCTACCGTAATCAAACTATAGCTGTGCCAGATCAGTATACTGTCACACTACCTACATACCGTTTTGGCAATATGAACATTCTAAATAATACTTTCAAGGTCAAAGGTCATAACCCAATTGTTAGCTAGAAGCATGTCCCCAAGTACATGTATGACTGTTACAAATACAATATTTTAAATGTGGCAAGCCATATTTTAGCATTTATTTCAAATCTGTATGTTTTGGGCAGCTTAGTTTGCTTGGTATATTTGGTACTAGTGCATTGACATACACATACATACATGTAGATTAAGTTTACAATTCACATTAAGGAGAGTAAATTATATACTAAGCTGATTAAACTCTGGGCAATTAGACTGATCCTATTGATAAAAACTATAAGCTTACACCATGAAAAATATGATATAACAGTAAATTACGGTACATTTTTGTTCAACAAAATAGTACTGTATATAAAACATGTGTAATTGAAGCTAATTCTATACCTGGTGATGAAGAGGGAGCAGAACCAAAAACCGGTCCTGTTTGAGACTGAGGTGGAAACTGCTGAAAAGTGGATGCCGATTGGTTAGATGCTACAGATGGTGCTGGCGGAGCCAATGGCTGACTCTTTTGTGTTTCCATCTTCGTATGTGGGGGTCTTGGATTATGCCCAACCTGAGCAAAGGGATCTGATGCTGATGTTGGTGGAGCAGCAGCAAATAGATCTGCATTAGTTGATCCAGGTGGCTGAAACATGTTAAATGTTCCTGGTTGTGATAGCGTTGTTGGTTTGGTTGGGGTTGGATTAAATGATTGACCCACAAAACTATCAGCTTCTCCTTCTTCATCTGAAAAAAAGATAGATTTCCAGACAATAAAACATTTGCCCATGACAGCTAAGTCATCGGAGCGGTCCTGAAAGGCTGTCACATTTTTATTGTTAAGCAGGTACATGTACCTTGAACATGTACATGTTTACATTGTACACATCATTAAAAGCTGATCATGGGCAACTGGCCACGAAGTACGTGTAATTAAAATTTAACAAGCTTCTTTCTACTTCTTCCTAGATCTAACATAAACAAAACATCTAGGCCTACAGGTAACCAGATGATAGCTTTAGCCTTTAGAGTGCCCACAAGATTTTTCAAACTGATCAAAAGGTCATAAATTTCAAGTCAATTTGATGATTACTAATCAGGATATGAATATGTATTAATGGTGACAAAAGCAATAGATTTGTTCACTGTATTTTGAATATTTTTTGGTTTTATATTCTTTTTAATTATTTTAAACATAAATGTCAATATTTTTAAATAATTTTGGCAAATTTGTCTAATAAAAAAGTTGAAATGCTTGTCTAGTTTTTTTATTTTTACAACCACTCTAAATTTCACGTTTCCCTTCCAGCCTTGCATGTGTTTTTTCACCTAGAAATCACTCGTTAAATTGATAATTCCATGTCTCGAGGATATATTTGCATCTGAAAAAATGAACAGTGATGAGATGGTGACATCGAGAATTGACCAGGATTTTGTGGGGAGAATTCATCAATGGTTTTGGGTACGATGTTGCCCACTATTTTGAGCTTAAAGATCGATGTTAAAAACATTAAATAATTTGCTGACGCGATAATTCATGTTCGCTAGTTTTAAATCTCAAGGCCTGATGGTGTCGTTTAAGATGATTACTGTGATAATTTGCAATAAGGAAGAAAAGTGTTTGTATAATATTTTAATCATTATTTGATTTTATGAGTGTGAAATCAAATAACACTAAACAATTCTTAAAATAAAAGCACAGATACATGTAGTGATGACAGAGTCTAGATAAAACCCTTTTAAAACTTAGATGTCTAAATCTGTGTTTCTAGTATTTATTTATTTATATCAAATGGTCCTGATGGTACATGCAATTGTACTGGTATGCAGCTATTTGATGATATTGGATTATCATTTGATAATACTGGGTAGTAGACTATATATATGGTAATATTGGGGAGCATTGGGTTATTTGCTGGTTTTGGGTGAACTGGGATATTGAGGAATTGTCAATTGCATTTGAAGGACATTTTCAGGGATTTAGCTCATTGTTACTGAAGTAATCAATCACTATTTATATATTTTTTGTATGATTTTATTCTTATCTCTCATAGTGTAAATAATTTTCACATTAATCATAATATATTTATTATTGTTATGTAAAACATTTGTTTCGGATTTTATGCATGCATGATGTTGTTAAAAGGGAAAAATGTAAGAAAGACCCCAGGCCTAATTTTTTACCCTTTTGAAATAAAGTGATTATTATTATTATTATACTATTTATAGTCATTTTTGTCATATTATTAAATATGCATGTACATGTATGCAAATATATTTTAAATACTCTTGACATTCAAATAATGGTCTGAATGAGACTTATCATGGTCCGAATGAGCCATAAATTTGGTCCAAAAAAGCTAAGAATCTGATCCGAATCAGCCATGGTCGAATCCGCCAGGTCCAAATCAGCAGATTACCATTCTAAGAGAACTTTTCATGACACAAATTTCTACTTTATATTCTATTAATAGTCTGATTCACAGTTTATATTCCACACCACATGATTTTAAGTCGGTTTTTTTAGACTCCCTCAGTGCATTTTTGATTGTCATGTCACACATTCATGCAGGTTTTTCATGTCTGGTCAACCATAGCGATGGCTTTGTTTATTATCATCTGCTACGATGACGGGCAAAAACAAGTTTTAGACTTGGCTTTGTTTTTTACTAAAAGACAATAAAAAAAGGCGACGTGCTGCCTTGTAACGTGGAGATGGAACTAGCAAACATGAATTATCATGCCAGCAAATTATTCAATGTTATTAACATCGACCTTCGAGCTCAAAATAGTGGGCGACATCGTACCTAAAACCATGGATGAATTCTTCCCACAAAACCCTGGTCCATTTTCGAAGTCACCATCTCATTTTTTCAGGTGCAAATATATCCTCGAGACATGGAATTATCAATTTAACGAGTGATTTCTAGGTGACGAAACACATGCAAGGCTGGAAGGGAAACATGAAATTTAGAGTGGTTGTAAAAAATAGCTAGACAAGCATTTCTACATTTTTATTTGAGAATTTTGACAAAACTATTTTAAAATATTGACAATTATATGTTCAACATAATCAAAAAGAATATAAAACCAAAAAATACCGGTATTCAAAATACAGTAAAGAAATCTATCGACTTTTGATCTGTTTGTACAGTACGATACACATAGATTCCTAGCTACAATTATGTATCGTTAAACTGTGTTTACCGCTACAATTGTTACAGTCTAAGACTCCTTACGCAAGTTCAAATAGGTTCAAACACACAGTTGTCAACACATATCATTACAGTTTGTATTGAAATAAGTAATTCTATCACAAATAGTGAAGACTGGACCACTAAAATAGTTACCGAACAGTTTTTCTTTGTGGTAATGCGTTCTACATTTTCAAAGCGATGTTTCTTATAATGATAATGTGAAAGCCGCCATGACTTCGGCCAGTTGAAAGTATGCGGTAAGGCTTCACCTTTATTTCAATTGGAATTGGTTTATTATATGTTAAGCTATGTGAAGTACAGTTTTGGGTCAGTTATGTGTAAATTAAGGGAGCTAAATTAGTTAGTGTTAGTTGTATTTTACGTCCGCTTCCACCGAGGTGATATCGCAGACAAGGGAGCTAATATAGGCCAGTAACCTTTTTGTAGTCATTTGACTAAAAAAACTTGCGCAAAGGAACTCCGACTACTGTGGCTGGAGTAAGGCGGAGGACATCAGTAGTGGAACCATTTCTAGTAGATTCCCACACTTCAACAGCAGTAACCATCATTCACAAAAAAGACACAGTTATTTTTAGGAGTTTTCAACAGGTTTCAAGGTCTTTCTACACAGAAGAAAATACTTTTTCAGCCTATTGCATCATACATATTGCATGCTCTATTGATGTGTTGTATCGGTGTATCCTCACAGGCATAGCTAAGACTAAGACAAGAGCCTTGAAGAGTTGGCTAACACCTTCTCAGGCTTCTGTGACTGTGAGTAGATCTATCTTTCGCCAAAAAGTCTGGCAGAGTTTGCACGTAGGTTGCATTGCTTAGAAATCTATACTAGATCTAGGTTTGGAATGATATACCTCTAGCCTAGGACCCTATACTAGACACCCTGGAGTCTGGAGGAGTACCTGGATGGAGTAGGCCTAGTATTACAGTAAAATGGGTAGATTTGACTTTCACTTTGAGTTGACTGAGAAGATGAAGAAAATTCAGAAGTTCAGAACTTAATTTTTTTACCTGGTACAAACAAGGGTGGTTCAGATTGAATGACTGGCATAAACACATTCGGATGATCGGGAGGGTTGAGTGTTAATCCTCCTCCAGCTGACATTAACAGCAGGGGAGGGGGGGTTGTGTCCTTCTTCCCCCGATTTGCCATATTTTCAACCTTATTGTTTTTACCGGAAGTAGCAAACCGGTAGAATACGTGGAACAAGGGGGAGATAACTAGAAATCAAACAATGGATTTCCCTCCCCTGTATCGTAGTACTAGTAATTCTCTCCAAATACGTCATTGATTCTCTCTATCATCACGTACTTACCGCACACTCTGACCAAACAGATTGATTTCTCACCTGCTGAGATGAAGAAGGGAAGATTGTACGCCCAAAAATGCCATAAACCATTGTCTCAGTTTTGTGTCAATTCAAGAAAAATCGTCAAGACCATCTTATCTTGAAGTCACTATCGCAGCCAGTAGTGCTAGTAGCCTACTGTATATCAGTATAGGAGTATATAGGGGCTATTTGTTCTCTATGTATACTAATTTACTATATATAAATAGGCCTATAGCCTTTTTGAAAATATAGGTCTGTATCATTCACAGGTAGGGGGTTGGATGGCTGAATGGTTAGCGTGCGCGCGCTGTAGGCCTACCATAAAGTCTGTCATTGAGTCGACTGGCGTGGTTTCGAATCCCCGGTTGTACGTGAAAAGGACTGAAGGAGTAGGGTCGCCTGTCCAACCTCGTGAGTTTTCTCCGGGTCCTCCGGTTTCCTCCCACTGCTAAAGAACCCTATGCGCAAGCGAATTATTGAAATAAAATTAAACCATGTTAGTCCCGAAATGACCTAGTTTGTGTCGAGTGGACGTTAAACCCCATTTCTCCCTCTCTCTCTCATTCAATATTCACAGGTGTGACATTTTGAATTGACTCCTGGTGTGTTTGCTCCTGGGCACTTGCGCATGTCCGAAACTGTATCTACTTCCGGTGTTGTGAGAAGGTTCCTGACAGTGATCAGTTCAGGAAAAAGTATTACGTATTTGGTTAGAGTTTTGTCATGAATAAACGTACTTGTTATCGTGATTAGCTTTTGTTTAGTGTTTAGTAGTTACACGATCAAGGGATCTAAGTTGATTGGCTTGAAACTAATACTTCTATCGTTCGTGATTTGTTGCCATTGTGGGTTTTTTTTAAAGTACATGTAGATTACGTTACACTTTTTGAGGTTTTAACTATGTTTGAATAGTTAAAATTTGTACAGATTAAATATTGGCCTTTAGATGATTGGGATTTCTCTGTATCATTGTTATTTTAATTTTGTACTTCTTATTAAAAATTTGTACAACTTCACAATATAGTCTATCTGTTTTATTACTCATATTAGGGGTTTCAGGTCACGTGACTTTAGCGTGAAATCTGACAGTCAGCGACTGAAATATATTCCATTTCAAAAAACAATTCTGAATTACTATTTTATTTAAATGTATTTACTAGCAATTGTATTGTAATAGTTTAATATCTGCAAAGAATCAGGCTAAAAAAATTATCGAAATGTAAGCGAAATTACCGTTTTTGTACGGGAGACTCATGCGCTAAACGGTAATCACACACCAGGAACCATCGCACACTGTCACACCGGTAACTTGATATTTGCCTAGAGCCACGGTGGCTAGGTGGTTAAGACGCTGGGTCGCTAGCCTGGAGGTCGGGTGTTCGATCCCTGCATTGGTCGAGAAAGTTCATCCTGATTTTCCGACGTGGTTTCCCCTTGTCAGTGGTGCAGAACGGAGGGCCTGACAGTTTCCCTCATAGCACACTGTATGGCGTATGCCCGTCTTCATTAGCCCAGTATAGGAGCAGAACAGTAGGACGTTAAACCCCATTTCATTTCATTTGATATTTGTCCAGTTGTCGGTAATAGACGGCTTAATTACCACACGAATACGGCTAGATTTGATTAGCAGTGTTCTATTGCGATCAAATCATCTGTGAAGGACTGCGTGCCTTTCGTTGCTTTTTGGTGGGGGAGGGGTCTTCGTCTCATGACCTTAAACACTGTGTATAAATTTAAAGTCAATCGGATATTATCTTTAGTCTCTAGAGCATCCACAAGATATTTTGAAGTGATCAAGGGCCATTACTCTGGCAGTAATTATCGGAAATTGCTGAAAATCAATAGGCTTCTTCGTTTCATGACCTTAAACACTGTGTATAAATTCAAAGCAATTGTGGACGCCGGACCGACGGACGGGCAAACGGGGGCGACGACAATATACGACCACATTTCAATGTGGGCGTATAAAAAGCTAAACATTTTATTTACTTATCATATTGTGTCAATAGGCCTACTTATTATCTCAAATGTATCATTTTCACATTGCTTTGTATGGTGCTCTAATAGGGGTGGGTTTTCTCCGGTTCCTTCGGTTTCCTCCCACTGCTAAAGACCCCTACGTGCAAGCGAATTGTTGAAATAAAATTAAAACACATGTTAGACCCGAAATGACCTAGATTGTGTCGAATGGACGTTACCCCCCACCCCCCGTTCTCTACAATATAAGCTTATCTTACTTAAATATTTTTTTAAAGGGCTCTATTATTTGGAACCTTAAAATAAAGAAAATGAGTCTAAAAGTACATAATAATATGAACATATTATACGTGATTTATATTCGGTTTTAAAAAGAAAATATTGTAATTTCTAATCAAATATATGTTGGGTGAAATACGTGAACAGTAGAAATTGAGCGACAGTCGTTTACGCCGGCTTAATCCATTCTACAAGTTTGTTTTTTTTAAAAAAATATTATTTTGTCGTTTGTGAACCAACCATTACTCATTAATTCCGCAACGTCTTATAGGATAGGTATTTCTTTATTCATTACAAATGGCGTCAGAAACCATAGACTACACGACTCATGTACTGATTTTACAATGTTTATCGCGTCTTTAACTATTGGATATTAGAATCGCATATTTTCACAAAATAACAACATCGATTGGAATGGACCAATATTTAATTCTAATTCGTGTTCGTTTTTTTTTTATTATTTCGAATATTATGGAAAATATTGAGTTAGAGATTTAGCTCTTTTAATCTGAAGTGTTCAGCTATTATCTACAGCTATTATCATGGTTGACCTGTGAAGCACATTTCATCACACGGGATTTTAGATTTTGTGTAGAAATTTTTGCAATAACAGTTTATCGTGATTTTATTTACTCTTTGAGTTGGCCATTTCTCAACATTAAGAGTCATGGTGCCAAAAAAAACTCGAAAATAAAAACAAAACAGTAAGCAAAAAACCGTAACAAACAAAACCAAACCCAAAAGAAATAATTATGTTCTCGGTCTAATTGAAATATTATAATGAAATATGTATATTTATTAATTTATAATCGTAATAAAGGTGCCAGGGTTAAAGATTTTGTAAAAAATATATATGAATATCCAAGTTGACATTCAGACTACGTTCGTTTTCTAATTTAATTCCGTTGATTAGTTTTCTTCGATCGATACTTCGTCATAAGACAGTTCAAATACGATCAGCTTCTGAAATAAATTTGACTCATCGACTCTATGTGTTCTATGGACTTAGATTTTACACCCATCAGTCAAGGACGATCTCAAAGATAATCATCAGACTGGATGCGTTGAAGAGATAGTCTTACATAATGCACACGATTTCTCATTTTTATCAACAAAAATAATATCGTAATTGATTTCCATCAACGATGCATGAAAGTTGGTAGGCTATCACCCTGTTTTCTATAGAAATTCGGATAATTTGATATTGCCATTGATTGAATTGCCAAGAAGATGTATCAGCTCCTCTGTTAAAATTACATGTCTGATGGATCCAATATAAAAAGGAGACGTGGAATTGTAACGATTCTTTCTGAGATATTTCCACGGGGAGTCATTCTATAAATTGTGGTTGGTCAATTTGTTTCTTGGTTAATAGGCCAAACAGCATTTATATCAATCATAGGCTATTCTTCAATAAAAATTTATATTGGCACGGTGACTTAAACATACATTATGCAAGAGCTAAATCTGCCTATTGCAAGTCTTTACTTGGGCTTCAGATGTTATAGAAATTATTAATTAGACCTTTATTTACACGACAAGCTCAAAATCAACCCTGTAGACCCATGGATGGCTTGGATACAGTTTGGATTTAAACAGTCGTCCATTTAAGATTAAATCAATAAATGGCGGACCAAGCTAACGTTTATCGTTAGTCGCTGATGTCACTACCAGAAACTGGCGATGAAAGGCCTGCCAATCGAGACTACCATAGCCATTGAGCATGTTACTTGATAATCGAGAATATGTGGGTGGAGTTATCGTTTGTCAATCAAACAATCGCCAATTCTAATAGACGGTGCAGACACAATTGATGCCTATTTCAAGTCAAAACTTCCAACAGTGACAATTCCGTTCAGAACAAAGTAATTTGACTGAAATTTTCAATATTTTCTTTTTTTATCATATATTTTTGAATTATTATAGCAAGAATGACCAACTATATTTGACATTCATCTATTATCTGTCGGTAGATGTATCTATTATCAATTTATATCTAATTTTTAAAAAATAAATGTTATTGACGTTACTAAGGTGCCCTACAAGACGAACGAAATCTCCAAATATACCGACAACGTTGTAAGCATATTCATATATTATACATGTATATAGGAGGAGCGGGGGTAGACGAATGGTTAGCGTGTGCGCGTTGTATCATAAGATCTGGCATTGAGTCAACTGGGGTGGTTTCGATTCCTCGGTTGTACGTGACAAGGAGTTGGGTCGCCTGTCCGGTTTCCTCCCACTGACTAAGGACCCCTATGCGCAAGTGAATTATTGAAATAAAATTGTGTCGAGTGGACGTTAAACCCCACCCCCTCTCTCTCTATCTCTCCCTCTCACTTCCTCTCCTCTTCTCTCTCTCTATATATATACCAAAAATACTAAGATTTGGATAGAAAAATCTGTATTTTAATTACATTTACATATTGGCCAAGATCTTTCGGCCTTGAAGACGCCTTAAGGCCGAAAGATCTTGGCAAATATGTAAATGTAATTAAAATACAGATTTTTCCAACCAAATCTTAGTATTTTTGGTATATAAACCTGAGAGTTGAATTTAGAAACTTTTAAAAATATATTTGAATTTAGAAACTTTTAAATATATATATATATATATATTTTTAAAA